TATGATGCATAATTTTTAGAATGCGTGAATGCGAATCCTAATGCCTTATTTTAAAATCACGTATAAATACGAAAATTAATGTTTGATATTATAAACTGCATGAGCAAATCAAGACATTGAATTTTAAACTTGCCTGAATATGAATCGCTACATAGGTTTTTAAAAAGGCGTAAATACGAATCACAATATCGGATTTTTAAATCTCGTAAATAAGAATCGCAACATACAATATTCAAATCGCGTGAATAAGAATCGCAACACGCAAATATGAAAAGCTATGTTTGATATTAAAATTGTGTGAATAAGAATCGAGATATTAGCAGATTCCAGGCTTGGGACCTCTAAAAGGCTTGTCAGAAGCAGCGTAATTTGAACTACGAAAATCGGATCTATCTGGAGGGCTGGTAAAAAATTCGGAAAATCTTATCTGCTGCGTGTAAACGGGGGAAAAATAGCTAAAATAAGTAAAAATGAGAAAGGATTGGTAGCTATGTAGCTTGAATTTTCTGTTTTTCTTTGAAAAATCGGTGAATTTTCTGAAAAAGTGGAATACTTATAAAAAAAAAGTGAAATTTTTAGAAAATCTGAATTTTTGTTAAAAAAGTTGAAATTCAAGAGATAAAAGTGAAAGCGCCCGGTGGCTGAGCGGTAGCGCTTCGCGCTGTCGTGCCACAGGTCCCTGGTTCGATCCTCGGGCTGGGCTAGGCTGATTCAGCCTTTCATCCCTTCAGTGGGTCGATAAATGAGTACCATGCACGCTTGGGAACTAAACACTGGGAGTTCCGCGTTCGGCTGACCACCTGACCGGAACATATGCTCCTGCACCCCAGAGCCCAAGGTCAAGAAAACTGAGATGGGCACAGTAGGCACATGGGCTGTTGCGCCGCTGAGTTTAGTTTTAGTTTAAAAGTGAAAAAAGCGGAAATCAGCTAAAAAATCTCATCCCTGTATATGCTTATCTATTTACCTAAATTATTAACTTTTACAAACCATTATAGCTACCTATTCTTCTTTCATTATGCTATTTATGTTATTATATGCCAAATTATCAGCTAATTTTCTGATAAAACATTAGTTTTCTGCAAGTAGTTATTTGCAATAAAAAATTTCGCAATTAAGCTAAAAAAAGTTACATTTTTCTATTTAAAGATCCGAATCAGTTAATCATTAATCTATGCAAATTCGGTGTAGTCACACCTCCCTTGGCTGGAAAAAACTATAATCAAAAGTTGCTGGATAATGATTTTGAGGCTAAGCAAGAAAGTAAAATTTAATTTACACTTTGCCATGGGGTTGACAGAATCTCGCAACGTTAATCTGGTCACTAGTCAATTTTGAAGCTGTTTGTAGCAGGGCTCGCCAAGTAGGCTCACTTTCAAAAAACCAGCCCGGATTTTATTGGGTGGGGTCATCTTGAAAAAACCCACTTGGAACAATAAGTGGGTTTTTTTTTTCAAAAATTTTTTTTTTATTAAAACTTATTGTTGCACATTTAATTTTATATCATTTATTGTGCTGCATAAATTTGTCAAATAGAGTTGCAGGATTTATATGATTAAGTTTTTAATATTTGCAAAGTAAAAGAAACTCGAATCTATAATTTTATAGTACTATTGAAAACTTTAAGGTTTTTTTTTTTCAAAAAGTATTATTTTAATGAAATTAAATCAAATAGAAATTTAAATAATATAGTCAGAAAAGATCAATTTTTCAAATATAGTTGCATGCTTTAATTATTAATAAACAGGTCATTATTATTAATTCATATGTTTAAAAAAATTGAAAAGAAATTTTTTTTTTTTACTAAGTGACACATTAACAAATTTAAATAGTTTTATTTTCTGTCTTTCAAAAAATAAGTTAAAACTTTTTAAAATTATTTATCTAAAAATGAAGTCATTTTCCTAGGGTTAATTACTTGAAAAAATGGAAGATCATTAAATATTTATTTCAGTTTCTTATTAAAGTCAAAAGTCAGATGAAATTTTAGTTTTTACTGATTATAAATATTTAGTGATTATAATTTTATAATGGGTAATAGATATATATATATGTTTAATAAATATAGTAAATAAATATGTGTGAAAACAAAAAGATACTTGTTCCTTTTATATTACTGCATTTATATTTTATAATGCTTGGGTTAAAAATTGCGAAATGTTATGTACTTAACAATAAAGATTCAAATATGTATCAGTGATATTGCGTTATTTAAACTTAATATAAAATACAGATAACAAAATTAAAATAACTTTTTGGATTTATTTATATTTTTAAGCTTATACAACACTTTTCAATATATAAAAATATTTACACAATAAAACTTAAAGTTTATGAGCACTAAATGAAAATCCCCAATTTTCCCCGGGTTTTTTCAATAAAACCCAGGCGGGTTGGGTTTTTTAAACCCTGGTAACATAAACTGTATAAGATAAAATATATTAAACCCTTTATTTTTTTTTCAGAAAAGGGGAAATTCTTACCTGAGGGATGAGTATTAGTCTCAAAAAACTTGTTCAGAATTTCTAGAGCAGATGGAGTAAAAGACGTTCGCCTTTTCCTCTTTTTGGTGGGTTCACTGCCTATGAATTCAGTCAAAGTATGAACACCATTTTTATACCTCTCTTCAGCTTCCTTCATCCACCTTTCTAAAACTGGCTTTATTTTTTGGGCACTTCGAGGTGTAATGTCTAACTTTTCAAACCTTTAATTAATTAAAAACAGTTAAAGCAAAAATAAAATTTTAAAAAAATATATATATATAAACTAAAAGGTTTTTAAATATTTTTTTCCTAATGAGGGAATTCAGGCTCAACAATATCATCAGGAAATTATTTCCTCTAACTGATATTATTATCAGCATCTGATAAATAGAAAATTATTTAGTTCATCTTTGCCCCATTAAAAATGTCTTCCAATTTTTGTAGATTTCAAATGTTTAGTTAATTAAACTTTTATCTCTCATATATACTCAAACTATATGTAACATTCTTTATAATTGATACAAAAATATTCTTATTCTTTATGCATTTTCACTTAAAGTTGACTCAGAAATACGGAAGTACTGGGTCCTAAAGACATGTAATTTCTAAAGTCTAGCAGAATCACCAACGGGGCATAAATAAGATATGAGCCAAGAAATTATTACCGCCTTGGTTTCGAGTAATACTACTTGGCAATGTTAAGATCATGAAACACAAAACCAAAAATTGGATCAATGATGACTGCACAACATTGGTATTTTCCGATGCATCACCCGGCCCTAGTTAATATATATATTAATTATTAACTTGCCTTTTTCATACTTTAGAAAAATTAAGTGATTAGTTTTTTAAAAAATAAGAGAGCGCAAAAGTGAATAATCAAAATAAACTAACACTAAATTAAAGATGTAAAAGTCAAAGAAGGAATATAATTAAATTTATCATACACTAAGTTAAGATATTATTTAGGCTGTAACAGTAGTATAAGTTACACAGAATTAACTAGGGCTGTAATGAATATTCAACCAATATTTGACCCTTTTACCAAATATTCGACCGAATGTTTGGCAAAGTATCTTTTAAAAAAGTATTTATCAACAAAGTTTCTTTTTTTAGATTCTAAAAGATTTTATAAAAAGTAATCTAAAATTGTATTTCTTAGCATACATAATTAGAAGTAGTTTCTACACATGTTTGTCAAGTTCTAAAACGTGTAAATGATGTATGTTCTGAAAGACAAATGGAAAGCGAAATGTCTACAATGTCAATTTAGTTGTTTTCTCAACACTTTTTGTTTTCAGAATGGAGGATGTTTTTTCTTTTGTGCCTCATTTTGGCTGTTTTCTGTTTTTAATATAGTGCAGAGTGTTTCTAATAAACTAAACTCTTTTACTGTCACTTTTTTCAGACAGATAAGCGGTGACATAGAAAACTGTGATTTTCATTTTTATCGTAAGGACTAAGAACTATTTTTTATTTTTTTTTATTTCTCCTTAGCTTTTTTTTTGTTAATTTTTTTTTATCAGCATTTTTTAAAAATTGTTTTTATGAACATTATTCTTAATTCCTCAGTTTTTTCTAAAAATAAAACAATTTGAAAAAGTTAAATTGAGATTTATGGTTTCGAACATTAAATTTTTCGTAGAAATATTAAGAACGATTTTTGTATTGGTTTCTGTCAAGATTTTAGAAAACTGACATGTTCAGCTTTAAAATCTTCTTTCAAAACTTTAGATCTTTATTTTTTCTGTTTCAATTTTGCATATTATTTATTTTATGGGCATTTTTATGATAGCATGACATTTTTAAAAATGTTTCCACTAGACTATCTCTCTTATAACTTTTTATGGATCTTTCTTTTCTTCTGAGAAATATTATGTTTAACCGTTTTCGTTTTGTAAGAACTAAGAGGATTTTTTTCCTATTTCTTTTTTTTTTCCAACTTAACAACTTAAGTTTTTTTTAAATAGCTTTTAGTCAGTTTTTTATTCGCCTTAAATAGTTGTAATGGCTAACTAATATAGTTTTTTTTTTCTTCCTCTTAACCCCATATTATTCAAATAGCTAAGTTCTGATTATTTTTTATTTTATAACTATCCTTGAACAATCGACCCAATTTTTAGGGTTGACGACTACTAGAGCTCAAATCCGTAGCCTTCTAATTTTGAACCCAATCCAGAGGACAAGGGAACTCCTAGATCAAATATTGGGAGGAATTTGCCTTCGGGGAGGACTTTTTGATGGAACTATGTGTTATGAAGAGGAAGACCACCAGAGCCTCCCACGGTTAGCCTGATGGCAAGGGGACTCTGTCCCACAATCTGTCTACCACTGAAGATATTTAACATCAGCACTGTGGTCGGTGCAAGCCGGATGCGGAATTCAAATCAATTGCTGGGATTCAAACCCAGTTCACCTCAATGGAAGGTGAACGTTCTATTCTCTGAGCCATCACATCTCTAAGTTTCGATTGTTTATCAATAATCATAACATTTAATTTTAAATAAAAAATATTTAATTATGATTTTTTTTATTTTTTAAAAATGCTATTTGGCTGCCGAAAATTCGGTATTTGGCCAAATCACTTTTTATTCGTTACATCCCTAGAATTATTCTTTGAACTTACTTATAAATTCATTACAGGTAAATTACACAGCACATGAAACCAGTAGTTAGAACAGCTAATTGTGCTAGTGTCATAAATTATCAAATTCAAAAACATATTTGTGATAAAAACACAGAAAATCTAATACATGAAGAAGAATTGTACCTGCATATCGCACTCTGGCTGTAAGATGGACCTTCTGTTGCACTTAAAGCTTGCCCAACTTGAGTCTGTGTTAAACCAAGAGAGAGCCGTCGTATTTTAAAAGCTTTAGCAAACTCTTTGATTTCTTCTAAATTAATCCCATCTACAACGTTAGCTTCAGTATTACTGATGGTATCTAAAATGCAAAAATACATACTGCAAATTTATTCAAAACATATATACTTTGTAGTATTCCTATTACAGAAACTGCATCAAATTTATTTCTCAAAATCAATTAGTGCATACTCACTCCATAATTTTATAAAAGGATTTATTTCCAAATGCTAGATAGAAAATTATATCAAATTACATATGATGCCAAATTGAAAATGTTTAAATAAAAAATATTTTTAGTCTTGTGAAATTTGTGTGCCTTTGAGTTTAAAATTTCAAAAACAAATTATTAAATTCACTTTTCTTTTAAATAGAAATTGCCAATTAAAAGCAGAGGTGACAGCATTAAATTACACATTAAGTATAACAATACCTCACCATTTTATCAGAGCAGGTGATAAAATCGCCTGCTCAGTCAGTCATTGAGCACAAGTAAATTCAAGTGGTTTTAATTTACTTATTTTTATAAGAAGATTATTTTTTTAATAAAAACAAATAAAACAGCTGAATTTACGAGTGACAGAAAAAGAGAAAAGAACTGTTTTATTATCAAGTCAATACTTAAGTATTCATTAGGAGTAATGTTATAGATTTATAAGCAAAAAAAAAAAAAACAACACGATATAAAATTAAATTTCTACACAATTTTTATTTTACAATGAATACATAACTCTCGGGCAAATTCAGAAGTCTACAATTAATTTTATTACCATAATATGGTCTGACATTGTGTATGCCCATACTTCTTAATTATATGACTTCTAGTGAAAGAAAATGGTTTGAGAAGTTTTTGCTAGTCCCAGAAACAGTATTAAATTGTGAAACAGTTGCAATTTCTATGATTACTAAGCTGTGTTATTTAGAAACAAAACCTGTATTTCCCAATTAAATGACTTCTAGCTAAAGCTAGACTAAAGAAAATGGTCTGAGAAGTTTTTGCTAGTCCCAGAAGCAGTATTAAACTGTGAACCAGTTGTCATTGCATTGATTACTAAGCTGTTATTTACAAACATTGTCCGTAGATTGAGTTTCTTTTGCTGCTTACACTGAATATTTTTCAAAGCTAATCTGGGATACATATTTATTGTATTATTATTGATAAGGAAAGTTGATAAGCAAATGTACCAGATTATTTAAATTTATATTAATTTAATTTAAATTTAATATAGCTAAATTTTTAAATTTATTTTTAATTATTTAAATTTTTTATGTATTTAAATTTAGCAGTGTTCTGTTTTTAGATTTTTTGATAAATATCTTAGTTTTGCCTACATACATTTTATAAGATTTTATTAGCATCATACAAATCGGTTTTCATTAGCTTAAGCTCTAATAAAATTAAATTTTAAAAAAACTAAAAACTACCTACCACATCAACAAAAAAAACTATACATTGATTAAAAGTCAAGCTTTCAAAACTCCGTATAGCAATTCAAAAAAAGATATCGAAGTGAAAAAAGCCACAGGCATAAAATCACCTTGTTTTAGGGAGAGAGAAAAGAGGCATGGAACAATTTCTCAAGGAATTTAAGAAGCAAAAAAAAAAAAAAAAAAAAAAAAAAAAAACATACATATGAATTAAAATATAGTATAAGACAAATAAATATCAGTTAAATCAACAACAAAAAACACACGCACATCAATTAAAACATATCACAATAAAAATATCAATTAAATCAAAGGAAAACTATATACATAACAACACTTAATCTAAGGAAAAACTAGTCTATTTCTATGCAAATACAGCCTAACCTGTTGAGTGAAATTATTTACCATCAAAATGAATCCGAAATATATCTCATAAAAATCCAAAACTATTGTTTGTTTTTATTAAAAAAAGCAACTTTTTTTTCAAATTTGGAATTTTGATTGCAAACAGGTTTGACATGTATTACATAAAAAATATCAAGTTTTAATTACTTATTTGGTTCAGACCATTATCACAATCATCATCAGGAGATACTGCAGGTTGAGGGTGTACTGTCTGCGTCAATGTCGAGACCGTGGAGCCGGGAGAGCACAATTTCGGTGCAACAATACAATTCTAAATGGAAGAAAAGTAGTTCAAATTAGAATAACTTCAAAATTTATAAAACTATACTCTAGGAAAAAACTGTTATTGTAATATTAGCAAAATTGCCCATGAGCAATGACACAACGCACAGACGGTCAGAGACAAGCTAAGGAGCTGAATCGTGACTGTCCCTGTGTACCTCAAAGAGAGCTTCTTAAGCTAAACAGGAACAGTTTGAGGAAGATCATTGTTCTTCTCACAGGACACTGCATCCTCAGGAGACTTTAAGACATTTACTTTGTGATTGTGAGGTCTATTCTGCTCAAAGATATTGAGCATTTAGGGCAACACTGCATTCAGGCCTGGGAACTGCAAGATGTTCCTGTAATGTGTCTGTTGAATTTCATTTCTTGTTAATCATGATTTACGGTTTGGGTACAATAGACCTCTGGTTGATGTGCTCTGCTCTTTAGAGCTGCCCAACCTCTAAATCTATCTATCTATTGTAATATTAGGGAACCACGAAAGTTTGCACCTGATCTAAATTATGATGATCTATATTTACTCACTCTTAATGGAAAAAAAATACAAAACAATATGAGTTAAATATTAGGAAAAAGTTTGTAGGAGCAGTAATATTTATTTGAACTGTTTTGTAAAATATAATACATTCTAACTATCCAAACCTTTAAATTATCAAAATATTGCTACTCATTTCATTTCTTCAAATTAGTAAGAAAACGGACACATGTTTCTCCTAAATTTAATTCTGTTTTAACATTGAAATTCAGTAATAAATTTAGAAAAATCATGAAAATACTTAGTTCAATTAATTCCTTTGAGAGAATTACAATATATGACAATTTTAATAACTTAAGCACATAGAGATGCATATTAATTACTAGTAAAACATGTAAAAATTTAAGATTTATTAAACCTGGATGCATACTTATGATAATCATGAGTATGCATTAAACTTTGTTTTTAACATTAATTACAACCAGAAAGGGTGGGTACCACACAAAGCCTAATTCAGGGGTTTATTGTGAGCCCAAGTCGAAATTCCGGAAAATTTCTTGAGTTAAAAAAAATAAAATAAAAAAACAGTTTAAATTGAAAAATCAGAAAAAAATTTAAACAAGGATTTTTCCTTTTTCTTCATATTTCTTAGTTTACTTAAAATATATTTAAAATTTTACACATACCTATGATGATCTGGAGAAGTAATTAAAATTTACAAATATGTCTTTCTTTCTTGAGTTTATGATTATAACAACTATTTACTGATAAAAAATGAATATTAATCATGAATATAAGCTTATAAAGTATCTCTCTGGCTCTCCCTTACAAACAAATAAAATAAACTGTGTTTTTAAGTTCCACCTTTGAAAATTTGATTTCCGGAAACTTCTGTGATCAATGATTTTTCGAAACGTCTGGACCTTCAATCTCTGGAAACTTCCGGATCACTGTTAGCAAAAAATCCGGAAATCTGGATTTTTTCCGGAACACAATCAGCTCTGCTAATTAGCCAGAGATCTGATTTACATAAAATGTTACAAACAAGAGAGTACTATATTTAGCTTGGCTTAAAACAAGGCATTTTTTTTATTATTATCACCCAGTATACTTTTTTTAAATATAAATTTCTAAAATAAAAATCAGTTAATCATTAAAATTCACAAACTTAAATTAAGTGCCAAATGGTTACCTGCGGTGCTAGCTGATTTTTTACAGGCGATGTCATCTGGGTTGTAACTATCACAGGATTCATTGCCATCTGAGCAGATTGCTGTTGTTGTTGCTGTTGCAATGCTATGGCTTGAGAAATGGCATTAAGCGAAGCATTCTAAAACAGAAATATTGTATACATTTCTAGAAACCTTTTTACATCCTTCAAATGTTATATCAAAATATATTTTGGAAGTCTTAAAAAAATTTCAAAATTGAAACAAATCTGAGCTACTTGTAAAACTTTGAGATAAATAGAACTTAAAAACACACTTAGTTACCTCCTACAGATAAAAGAACAACTATTTAAAGCAGTGTTCTTCCTAAGCATTTTTTGAAGGGTGGCTTGTCCTGCCTGCCCTTTGATCCCTTTAAATGTGTCTCTTTTGTAAAAACATGCCACCATCCCTTAAAAACAATGCCTTTTAATTCATATTTCATTTTCAAGAAAAATTAATTAACTGTTAAAATAATAATTACACACAAAAATTATCTGTGCTTATAGGTTTAATTCTGATTATTATTACAAATATTTATTTTGTTAGGATTATTCTCAACTGGTTAAATTTTTATAAGTTTCTGTTTTTTCAAGGGAGTGTATTAATAAATTTTTTCGAGTGATTTTAAATTTTAAAATTATTTTTTACACCTTTTTTTTTAAAAAAAAATTAACCTTTAAATATTTATTATCTAATATATCTCAGTATAAATTAGAGAAAAAATCTTTTGAGCTGTTTATTAAAAAATAATGGTTTTAGTTTACTTTTTCTTTAAGGAAAAAATTATTTTTTTCTTAGCATGCCTTTAATTATTATTTATAGACTCCAAATTTTTCTCCTTTTAGATAATGGGTGAAAATTACTTTTGAAATATACACTGAAGCACCCTGCTTTTATTAATTTCTAGGGAAAACTCAGCTTAAAGTAAATACTCATTACTTTAAAAGCAAATAAAAGTTGGATACTTATATGGATTATATTGAATGCCAAATATTTTTACAGCTAACTCAACTACAGGAACTAAAAGAGTAGCTGAAGGAACAGGAAAGCTGAAGGAACTTCAGCAAATTCAGAGCAAAACAATCATTACATACTAATAAAAAAAAATAGCTGCAAAGGTGAGAATTCATGTCTAACACAAAAACAATCACTAATACACTTTAAGGGTATAGAACTTAAACTTCGAATACAAAGGTAAACCCTGGAATACAATAAAGGTATACCGGAATGTTAACTATACCTTCATATTGGGGATGCAACAGATATCCAGCTAATAGTATGTATCTGGCAGATAAGGGCAATTGGCCAAATATTTTGATTATCATGCAGTACAAACCAGCCCAAAATTAAATATTGAAGAAAAATAAATAACATATGTAAACCAAGCACAGTAGAGTCCCGATTATCCTAGTTTCCACTTTAACCGAGCTAACAAATATTTCAAGGATTTTTTTGTTCTAGTTTATTTTCTATTTTTAAAACTGCTGTTGTAAAAAAAAATCTTACTTTTATCTTCCAAACAGTCAGGAAAACGAATTCCAACAACTTTATCCGATAAAATGATCGTTAATATCATCAATAATGAAAATGAATCTAGCGAAGATGAAGACAGTGACGATAAAACTCAGCATATAAAAATCTCTCTTACAGATGAACTAAAAGCTATCAAATGTGCTATTGAATATATAGAACCAGGGGTTTGTCCAGGCCGAATTTACTACCGTTTAGCGGTACCTTCACAAATTCAACTTTAGGAAAAACGGTAGTTTCACAAATTCAATTTTAAGAAAAACGGTAGTTTCACAAAATACTTTTTCTTAAAATTTTATTTTTGTATCCCTTAAGAAACGATAAATCCACATTTTTACCATATTTTTGTGTTGATTTTTAAATATAACTTTTAATTTTTCTCAAATTATGTCTAAATTTTCACAAAATAGGTACCTCTCAGAAAAACCTAGACAGACCCCTGAGAACAACAAGAGACGACACTAGCCTTCCTGTTATCTCTAAAAAAAATGGCAAAACATTGCTGCAGAAAAGCACCAAAGTAATGTAAAAAGAAATGATTATGGACTTTTTTAAGTAAAAGCTCTTTAATTCTCGTAAAGTATATTCTTAAAGTGTTTTTATGTAAGCTTTTTACTTATATGAATTGTACGTGCCGTACTCATATAAAATTTGTATTTGCTAATTGTATTACATTTATACACGCTTTTCTTTCTCAAAACAGTCACTACAGCTGTGAAATCAGCCACTGATATAAATATTTTAGTATTTATAGCTAGCTATTACTTTGAATAGATTCACAGATATACGCATAACTATGCATATTATATTAAACCATTGCTTCCAACCATTATGGTTTTTAAAATCATGTAAAATCAGAAATCTTATCAAATATTAGTATAGTTGCTAGCTATATTGTTAAAAAAAATATTGCAATAAAATAATGGTCTCTAACAAATTTTTTTAGCAACACTGAAATAACAAATTACTAACTGCTAACAAATGGTACAAATATCAAATAATAATATATTAAGCACTTTTTACAAATCTAGCACGTGACATCGACTTCATACGGGTCTAATAATAAATATATTTTAATTATTATATGATCATATTTATTAAAAAGCATTATTAATATTGTCTTGTGAATTAAATTATATACTGACTTGAAATTAAAAGGTTATTTAAAAGAGATAGATAAAAATATGAACAAAAAAATATTAGTGTCATCTCCCAACATTAAAGAGAAAAGAAAGATGAAAAAATACTGTCGTAGGATAATGAATATCCCATATTCAGCAAATGCAATATTCTTTGCATCCGTACTTCCCAATATAATAGAAATTGCACAGGTTTTATGGAAATAGATTAAAATTTAGATATTATACGTGCTCAAATGTTTGTAAAGTATTTTATTGAAGCAAAGTAATATTTATATATTTTCATGGTTACTACAAAACTGATATGCCCCCGAGATTCAATTACCCATAATTTCACATATATACACAAGAGTAATAATCACCTGAATTCGGTTTATAGGTGTTGGTTGTGAAGATGAGACGGTAGCCACTTGTCCTTTATCATCAGGTTGTGGTACTTGTTGCAACTGAGTAGCAGCAGCCATCTGTTGATTCATCATTATACTGTTCGGATTTCCACTCATCATTGGATGAGCAATAATCTACAATAAAAAAATAAAATAATTTTCAATACAATGTAAAATAAAGTTATTGTACATTTGTCATTTATACAGCATGACCTCAAAAACCCAGACTGCTTGAAGTTTTGAAAATATCTCGATCTAGGAAAATTCTAGCATTTTATTAAATTATTAAAGTTAATAGAAGTCACAGTTACGGACTCCAATATTATAAAAGAAATGTGGAATTCTGTTGTACAGCCACATAGTAGGTATTTTACGAGTTTTCACATTATTTTTAAAATTTGGAAATTTAAATTCTCTAACAAAACAATTGTTTAAGAAAAATTAACAAAAAAATTTCTAAAAATAAAATGATAGGTTAAAACATCTTTGACTATATTTAAATAAGCATAATCTGTATCTTACACAAGCTAAATCTGAATAACAAATATATATATATATATATACATATAGATTGATTTTTTAGATTAGGTTATTAAATAAGTAATAACCAGGTACACCTCCTAATTTAATATGATTTATAAATATAATTTAATTTCACTTTAATTATCTTACTTGAGGTCCAAGAGATACCAGCTGACCAGCAGCATTTGTGAAGATCTGCGGAACTGAAGATATTTGACCCTGCATATTAGAAGGAAAACCTGGAGCAAGCATAGGATGAGATTGAACAGTTTGAGGATTACCTGCAAATATATTTTTTACTAAAGAATAAAAAATTTTACTATGCATATTTTTCAGGCTGTGTCGCCAAATTTTTCAACAAAAATAAGCACTTTTTAAGAACTTTTTAAGCATTTAAGAAATATTTTTAAACACTACATATATTAACAAAATGCAAAATAATTTTCAAAGACTTTACATGATCTTGATAAATTAACTAGTTTCTGACAAAGAACTCTTTTTTTTTTATTATATTAGCCAGTAAAAAAAGATCAAGAGGATTTCTGGTTTGATATCAGACTGTGGAAAATGAAGCCTGAAATATAGAATAGCTTGCAAAATGCAGCAGAGTTGCACATGACAGTGCAATAATCTCATCGAACCTAGCTCAGTCGACGAACATACGGATTCGCAAGTATTTCATCAAACAAGTAAAATTATTGGCGCTTTCATACGCTATGGACTGACCGTAGGCCAAAATGAATTGTGGTTGAATAAGTTGCGAAAACGTTAAATAGAACAATGTGAAAAGCACACTTTTGCGTAATAAGTGGCGGGAATTGAAATGGTAAAAAAAATTTCATTTTCAATAAGGAAAAATTAAGCATTTTTTAAAAACACCCAATGAAAAAAGCACCTTTAAGTGCTTCTAAAAAACGAAAAAAAAATAAGCACCTTTAAGCACTTTTTAAAAACGCTATGCGCCCTGTTTAATGTATTCATAAAAAAAGCAAATTTATTTACCAGCCATGTTGGGATTTTGAACACCAGGAACAGGTACCGGCTGAGAGAGCGCTTGAAGATTGGCAAGTGTGGTTGTGAAAATCTGGCCATTGGAAGCAACCAATTGAACGATTTGATTTCCCGCTAACTGAGAGACGGGAATCGTTATCACTTGCTGCGTAGCTACACCTTAAAAATATAAAATAAACAGGTAAATAAAAGTTTAAAATGTTATAATCGAAATAATATTTATATTATACATATATCTATACATATATCTTTTCTTAAGAAATAATTGACTAAAATGTTTTAGCAATCTTCACCTGAAGATGTAGGTATAAGTAATTGTGCACCTTGAATACCTTGAACAGGCTGTCCTGCAGCTAAAATGAACTGAGGTGTATTTCCAACTTGATGCTAAAAAAGAAAAAACTCTCATTAAAAAATGAATAAAATACAAAAAATATTAGTGCAAAATACAATATGTAATATATCAATATATCATTTGACTTCAAATTTCTTTCTAATGGAATAAAAATAATAATTTTTAAATTCTTTAAATTCCTTTATAATTTTTTTTCATATAAAAATTGGCGAAATATCTTTCTATCAAAATCAAAATTTTTTACTAAAATGCAACAAATTACAGGTCTTAAAATTTTTTTTTAATGAATGGGAAAGATTTATACAAAATTTATAAATAAAATAGAATACAATGTTCATAGGCAATCCCAACATTATTAAATACAAATAAATAAATAGAATGAACTGGATGACCCACGTTATTTGAATGAGTGATGAAAATACAATAAAAAAGATACTGCTTTCTTAGATCCACTGGAACAGGAAAGCCTCGATTCAGATGGGCTGACTCGGGGAAGTCTCGGATGATTTTCTTGCAATTAATTAATAGAATTGGAGATCGAAGTTAAATTGGGAAGTCCTTATAGAGAAATCAGGGGTCTGTCCAGGTCGAATTTACTACCGTTTCGTTGTACCTTCACAAATTCAACTTTAAGAAAAACGGTAGTTTCACAAATTCAACTTAAGGAAAAACGATAGTTTCACAAAATACTTTTTCTTAAAATTTATTTTTGTATCCCTTAAGAAACGATAAATCCATAATTTTACCATATTTTTGTGTTGATTTTTTAATATAATTTTTAATTTTTCACAAATTACGTCTAAATTTTCACAAAATAGGTACCTCTCAGAAAAACCTAGGCAGTCCCCTGGAAATCTTCAGAGGAAGGCATAGATTCAGATTGGGCTGTCTGGCCAACTATGATGGAGATGGGAAAGAATTTTGAAAAACTGGGGATCAAACTCCAATATTTCACAACGACAGTTCATAGCCTTAACCACTGAGCCATCGCAGTAGAAATGAATAAAAAGTATCAATAAGGCTGAGAACTAGGTGGCAAAGTTGAAGGAAAGCCCTCCCTCATTAGACATGGATATCAACCAATTAGACATGGATGCCACGTGCCATTGACCACAGCCGGCCAGGGGGTCTACCTTTCTGCATGTAAAATGGCTTGTGCCTACGTGTGCCTCGACAGACTCCTCGGACGGGGTCATTTAAATCTATCACTCCTTATCTCCCCATCTGCTGACCAGACGAGTGGTCCTCTCGCCGTTCAAACCCCCTTCCTCTAGCGTCCACCATGTAAAAGGGGGCGACCGCAAACGATTTGTAGCTTACAAATTATCAATTTGTAATTGTGGGATATCTATTTCACCGAGGAAAGCAAAAACAGCTAGCCCTCAGCCTTAGCTTGAGAAAGAAAAGTGTTTATCTCTTTTTAATTAGTCTTCTAGATTTTATTTTTCTGTTTCAAAATTCTGTGCAAGATATCTAATTTAGTACTCGAATAAGCATGACATTTATTTCAGGGTAATCAGGACCCTTATTGACATATGTACAAAAATCTTCGCAACCATTACACTGCACTAAAAACGTTCATTTTTTCTATATTTGTCATGAGAATAAGCACCTAATTAGTGAAATATATTTTCCTACAAAAAATTCAGCAGCGTGAATGGCCCTATTGGCCACGTGGAAGAAAAATCTAGTTAAGTTTGCACATGTTCTTAACCCATTGGCTTTATAAACATCTAACTACATGCTTAATTCAATCTGAGGAACCATTTCTTTTATATTGTGTATTAAAATAATAACCTAGTTTAATATAAGGTCTTTTTGCATTAAGATTAAATTTGATCCTTCTGTTTATTTAAATTGTTTCTTTATCTTACATCTAATCTTCTTATTATATCTATATAAAAAGAAGATTTAAATGTGAAGTTTAATTTATAAACACTTAAAATATGTAAAATTTTATTATACCTTCTTATCATATATAGTCTATCCTTTTTTTCTACTGTCACTATCCCTCTGCAGTACAATAACTTTTTAGTTACAATGAGTGATACATCAGTACAAAAAGTCCTGTTTTCAAATCTCTAAGCACAATGTTATTTAGAGTGCTTTCTGCTTTCAAAACAAAGTAGTTCATATGACAAAAATCATTTGATAGCAAAAGTTTGAGAGAGATAAATTAATTAAACCACTGTTTTTAATGCTACCCCAGATTAATGTGAAACATTTATAATCTCTTTCAGAGTTCATGTTGTCCTGATATTCCTGATTTTTCTGATGAAAAATATTTTGTTATTATTTGTCCTGATTTTAAGCATTTTGTGCTAGTATTCATGTGTTTGTGTGCTTTCAGAACAACACATTTACTACAAATACAAATGCGGAACTTTAAATATTCGGCCTAACACCTTAATTAATTATACTAGTGAAACTTACAAAATTCAAAACTTAGGTATCATCTAGTAATTGCATAAATAGTTCAGGCATATAACCTAACCCAACGGATTCTTTGTTTCAAAAATTATCATTTCATAAAAAAGAAACTCATTTAAAAATTTTTGTGCTGAGGAATTTAAGGATCATATGATTAATAACTATTTCAGCAAAATGCAGTTAATGAATCTTGTAGAGTAGAATTTTGTATTTTCACAATTATTTAATTTTCACAATTAAATTCAACTGACATAAAACATTATCATACTTATACACTTATTATATACTTATTATGTACTAATTATATACTATGATTGACATCAAATTATTGACCTTTGTATGAAAATGGTAGACAGAATATTCACTGTTTTTCCAAGGAAGGCTTTAACTCTATTAAATTTTTTTATTGAATNTAAATAATTTTACAAAAAAAATTACTATGTTGTCTCAACTTATTAATTAAAATAATGAATAGTAAATAACTAGTTAAAATTCTAAAGCAATATTAATAATTAAATTAACATTATTGTTAAATCGTTTCATTAATGAACATATTGCGATTCAAAGAGAGCGATCATCATTGCGCACTAACCTCCTTTATTTTAGAGAAATCTGGCAGTTTTGCTATGTACAGTTAATTTTTTCCATCATTTCAGTTTTTTTATGTTACTTTTTTCTTCAATAGGAAATGATTATACAAGAATAAAAAACTATTGTCACTCAACGAATCGATTTAAAATAATATATATTAAGTAACTGTTTCAAATTCAAAAGCAGTATTAATAGTTATTCACATTATTTTTAAATCGCTTGTTCAAAGAAAAATATATTACATTTCTGAGATTGCAGTAAGCATTGCGCAAAAACTTCCTTTATTTCAGAGAAATATGGCAGTTACAGTATGTATATTAAACATATTTTATCATTTCAGCTATTTTTTGATTCTTTTTTCTTCAATAGAACAAACATAGTTATACAAAAAAAAAAAAAATAAATAAATAAATAAATAAATAAAAACTAGTATTGAATTAAAATAATGAATAGTTAATAACTTTAAAACTCCTCAGTAATATTAATAATTAAAGTCACATCATACAAAAATATAAATAAATAAATAAAAAAACTATATATGCACTATCTTTTATGATATGATACAGTAATGCTCGCGATATAGTATGCGTAATGTAAAAGAAAAGCAATGACATTGAAACAGGAAACATTTCTTTTAAAATCCCACGCGTCTGTCGTACGCCGACTAATGAGGGAGAGATGAGCCTTCTCTTTGCCACCTAGTTCTCAGCCTTAGTCAAAATCTAGTTCATCTCCAAATAATAAAAGTCTTAAGATCAACTAGGGCATTAACAAAAAATTAGAAAGGAAAAAGTAGATCATGCTTGATTTCATGCTTGATGAGAAAAATGGCACAAAAACAGCACAACTTAAAAATGTAAGATATCGATAATCAATAATTTTTTTAAAGAAATAAAAGTCGTAACAACCTGGTTTAATTTTACAGTAAATTTGTTTCCTTTGTTTAAAAAAAATCTTTTCAACTAACTAAACAATTTATTTTTTAACATGTTTACAATTAAAAGCTTTTTTTAACATTTTACAATTTTACCAGAATTTATAACAACATAACACATATTGCGATGGATTTGAATACTAATAGGAATTTTTTTGAAACATGTAAAAGGGGGGAAAAGGATTTTTGGAAGTGTTGATTTAAGATTTAAAAAAAAGTAAATCTTATTTTAATTGTCTTAATGCCATCTCTATTTAGAGGGGGGGAAATTGGCATGTTTGAAAAATAAAATTTTATAATTACTTAAGAGTAAATTAATAATTAAATTAAATAAAAAGGTTACAACACATATATAAAATAAGAAATTTTCTTGCTTCAATTTTTATTGTAAATTTTAGTTAAATATTTCTAAATCAAAAATTCAACATTTTAGTTCAGGATAAAGCTAAAGAAAATTTATAAGAGCTGTTTTTGGCTAAGCAAAGAGTATTTATTTAAAGTTCTCTCTAGATCTGCAATATGAATTCAAACAAACTAAATATTCTTTTAAATTGAAGAGGCATAAATAAATTAGAGAAAATTAAAAGATTTCAAAGATCATGAAGATTTTAAAAAACAATATTCAAAAAATATAAGACTAGTTTTGTTACTATTTAATTTCTTACAGTACAAAATAAAAAGTTCAGAAAAAAAACTTATATCAAATATTTATAAGAAATTAACAAGTTTGTATAGTTATAGAAACATACTTGCTGTACAGCACCCTGTTGCCCATTTACAGCTACCATTCCCTGCGGTAAAGCAGCCTGCATTTGGGGATTCGTAACGCAAGCTGTAGCACCTCCTTGCTGCTGCTGTTGCATTAGCTGTGCTTGTTGCAGTTGATTCATAACATTTATATTAGGTATGCCATTAAGTCCCCCTAATGCAGCAACTTGTGGTAATCCTGCAATACTCATCATCCCAGGGGGCAGCTGAGCAGATGTAATAACTTGTCCACCATTAGCAATGTGTGGAAGCATGCCTGCACCGGCTTGAGCATTACCAAATTTTGCCATCATTGAGTTAGACAGAGAACCTAAAATTCAATAAAAATCATCAAAAAATTTTAGTTTCTGAATTTATATGATACAAAGAAAGTTAGCAACAAAAAAAAAGAAACATTTTAACTCTTTAAACCACTGCCATAAGTCCAGACGAGTGTCTGGGGGAGTTCTTATTTTAGACAAACTATAACAAGCTATTTTATGGGGGATACACCTCTTAACATATTTTCTGAATTTCTATTACTAGGACAGAGAAATTTTTGGATAATATTTAACATCTTTAAAATTGGAGAAGGGGGCATAGTTTGTCTAAAGTAAGAGCTCCCCTAGCCATTCGTCTATGACTATGGCAATGTATAACTATTTCAAGTAGGGGTGTGGGGTCATTGTTTAGGACAGGTTTTGGCTCAGGTCGACAAGAAAAAAGGAATGTTTTTCTTCGATCGTGTTAGCCATAGAGTGAAGAGAAGCTACCCTTCCTGAAATGTGCTATTCTTGTTTTCATAGCAGCAGGCGGCCTCAGACTTTGTGGCAAGGGGAGTTCTTACTGTAGACAAACTATAGATGTTTTTGACCAGGCTTATTTTATCTTCAACTCATAACAGGAAAAAACAACAAATAAGAAAAATACATTTTTAACCAATTGTTTAGTTGTATAGAAACTAGACTTTTTACTCACTCATTTATTTTCTGGTGGGGAAGGGAGAGGATTATTAATAGTGGATATAATTTTCTGCCAGCATATCAGTAAAAAAGACAAACCTAACAGTTATTGATAATGTAAAACAGCAAATCTGACAACATTAATTGTGTTATCATATTAATCAAAAAAACTTATAAATTACAATAGCTCCTAAAATGAGAAAACCAATTTAACATTGAACCAAATTTTTCTGTTTTCATTTTAGTTTCCTATTACAGTTCTGTTAGTTTCCTGTTACATTATGAAAAAGACTCTTGAAATGTGACAAGCATTTCAAGAGTGGTTTTATTTCTCGTGTTTAAATACCAGCCTAAAATTATACACATTCTTCGAAACAAAGATTTGAACTAGATATTGTTTTGAAGCATAGAAGTTACAACAATATTTAGCATTAGCAGTTATGACCCACCTTAACCATTATATTATGTACGTAAAAGATACCTGATACAGGTTTCAAGCCCCGTGGTGATATACTGACATTGTCACAGAATGTAACAGAATTCTTGCAGAAAGATTTTTAATTTTGGAAATAAAAAAATTTCAGTTTTCCTTTCTGCGAAAATTTTCATTCCATTTTTTATGTAGTTATTACTATTGATTTCCACAGTTTTTAAAATCCTATAATTTTAATAAGATATTATTTATAGTAACAACTGAATCCCGAAATGTGATCCCTTTCCGAAGATTCAAATTCCCCTTGATTTCGTTGTCGATCTTTTTTCTTATTCTTTTGGACGTTACTGCTACGGATTTCACGACTTTTTAATTATTTTTTTTTAATGTGATGATGATTTACAAAATGCGAAAAAGGAATAAATTTGTGTTTTACCCTTACAAAATGCCAGAATATTGGCCATAATATTAGAAAAAAAAATTAAATATTCAAATTTTTTTTTCTTCCGAAAAGCAATTTTTTTCTTTTGAAGTTGACGCTTCTGTTACTTTAAATTAGTAACATGTATATTTGCCATTTTTAAAAGTATCTTGCAGAAAGATATTAGTATTAGAGAGGCATGTCGCAGACAGCCCGAAGAAGTTCTGCGACAGGGGTTTCAAGATAAAACAAGTTTAAATACAGTTAATATTCATATACTCAAAAGAATCATGCACTGACCAGGATTAATTAAAGTTTTTGCTCCATTTTCATCCATATTAGCACCTCCATTCATATTTTGAACAACTACAAGCTCGCCTGAATTTGGATCTTGCATTGTCATCATACCAGGCTGAAGCTGTCCAGCTTGATTGAAGACAGCGGTAGCCATGGGGACCATGCTAGGTGGAGCAGATGAGCAGGAAACCATATTTTCCTAAGAAATAAATTAACTTTATAATTCGCACAAATAATTATTATTATACACGGTTTTTACATCTAAATTTATAGCTTCAAATGTTTTAGATTCCAATTATTGGCTCTCCTTTTCCATACGAGAAATGCATATTAATTATTGTAGGTGAATATTTGTCAATCATTAAAAAAAATTTAAGTACAAAGCAAAAGTGGGGGGAAATATTTTTTTGTTCATTTGTTTCTTTAAAAGATGCTTTTTTTTATTTAGTTTAAAACATGTTAAAATTTTTTTCTTCTAAATTTCACTAATATTTTTTCATACAAATCCTTATTATTGTTTTTTTAAAAATTTAAAAGAACCTTAGTCAAAACCACACTTGTTTAAGAAAAAAAATGAAATTATTAATTTAGAGCTTTGCATATGGTTTCAAGCTTTGCAGTCTTAGCAAAACTCAAATGGTTCCTAATTTTACTATGTACGAAGCCAAATGTTGAGAACATTCACAAAAATTATACAAATAAAAGAAAAAAAACTTGTTTATCATAGTTTATAGTTTGGTAGACATTTTAGAGCCATCTGTTACTATAATTAGAAAACAACTAGACACTATTATTGAACAAAAAATAAAACTGTTTTTCTAACTAAAAGATTTTTGCCACTTATCCTTTAATTTTGAAAAACAAAGGTGAAGTAATTAAACAAAAAAAAACATGTTTAAAACACATTTTTAAATGTTTTCAAAATGTTTAAAACAAAGTATTTTAAATGTTACAATCCTGATACAAATTAAAAAAAAGTCAATATACCATGTAAAATGTCAGAGACATTATTTGCAATGCTGTCAAGCAAATTAAAAAATTTGAAGACTTAAAAATAAGAGTGTAGTAAAAACACCTAATGTATCATTAAAATACTAATTGTCAATTCTAAGCTCTGGAATAGTAACAATAATTAGTATATTTAGAGAAGCATAAATAAAATATTTGAAATATGCTAATTTTTTAATTATTTTGTTAGGGGAAAAAAAAGATTTTTACAAATATAACTTGATTACTAACTAGATTTGGTAAATAGTAATAACACATTTAAAATTAATAATGAAATAAATAATAAAACTAATACATGTTAAAAAATTAAAAATTTTGTTTTGATTTTACTTACATGTTGTTGCAAATCACCACATGGGTTGAATACCTGAAATAAAAATGAAATCAATGAAAAGACTAGCTAGCAATTTTAAAAAATTAGGTTTTTTCTTTAAAGTTGTTAACCCTTTCGCGACGCAAAGCGCGAAAGCGCGCTTACAGCTGAGGCAGGCAGTCTCTCTAGCGTGTGTCTCCCCAGGGCCGGAGGGTTTTTCGATGTTAAGCCTAATTCCATGAAATTACCGAAATATCAGCGCGTTGTTTAATATTGTTCTGTAGAGTATTTAAGTGACATATGCTTTATATATATTTCTATGGATACTTTATTTACTTAAGTTATTTCTTGTTTAAATGTAATATAAATATTAATAAGTTTAAATATTTTGCATAATTTCCTCTATTTCCAGCTCAGTTAAAAATTTTCGACGCTTCGACATTCTAACGGTAAAAAGAAAAAAAATTCAAGCCTACAAGATCTAATTATCCACTAAAAACTAATCCGAAAATCGAAAGTAGCGAGAGAAAAAAAAAACTCCCTTACTTACTGTAAATAAATATCACGTGCTAATTTAAAGAGCCCTCATAAAACATTCCCCCCCTCCACTCCTTCCCCTAAAAACCACGTGAATGTACTTTCATCTTGAGTAGAAGGTCAAATCTACATGTATCTGAAACCATATGGACATACAATGCCATCTTTTGGAAGAAATTTCATTTTTTAAAACGTTCCGAAACGCTGGCACAAATAAGTGACGGTCGGGGGTGAACGAGAAAACTCTCTGACACGCGGGTGTGTCGGTCGGGAAGTGAGCGCGTTTCTTGCTGGCACATATATGTGACAGTCGGCTCGAAAGGGTTAAAGATCATGTCTTCTTTAAAGAGAATCTTTTTATTTTAATTGAATACATTTTAAACAGATTTTTTACTTTTTAATTTTATGGTTTATTAAAACTGTCATAAAGAGTATTAATAATATTTAATATAAATAATAAACAATATTATACATAAAACACTTAATATTTTTAAGTAAAATGGCAAATACTTAATTATTTTAAAAAAATCACTGAATAAATGTAATCGTAGGTATTTCTATTTAAGCTCAACACTCTCATAAATTTGTAAAGACAGAGAGTCAATTTATTATTAGAAGATAGATATCAAATAAAAAGTAAATTCCTTTTGTTTAGATCCGAAATTCAAAAAAAAAAATTTAAAAACAAAAACAATTATTCTCATTACTTTTGGCAGAACAAATCTTTCTTAATCATTTAAGTTCACTATTTATGTGTCTTATGTTAAAAAATTATAAATTAATAATTTATATACATTTCTTTCCATTTATTTCACTGTATAAAGCCGTCGATATTAATGAAATCAGACAAAAAAATAAATAATAAAACTTGATTAACCAATATGCTTTATGGAGTACATTGATTTTACCTATAATCGTTGAGGCATTATGCTAACTGCCGAAATAATGACACTTAAAACCCAGATTGAAATTTGGAAAAATATCTATATTTAATATCTCATTCTGATTTGAACCAATATTACAACTTATACTTTACTTATGAGAGTATTTTCTAGCAGACAGAGGCTCCAAATTTGATTTAAACTTTAAAAAGAAAATGCCTGAGCAGTAAGGTAACTTTAAAACCAGATAAATATTAAGGCAGAAAGTCAAGAATAAAAAATTAAATTTTAAAATCCTATATTTAATATCATTATTACAAGAAAGAAAATTTCTAGCATTAATAAGGTTTAATAGTTTTCTGCTAATAGAGAAAAAAAATAGTTTAAATTAAATAGTTAATAAAAAGAGATATTTCAAATTTGATTTAACTATTTCTCAACATGTTTAAAAAAAAATGTCACTCGGAGGCCTGATTTAAATGAAAATAGCCAAAACTAATCAAATAAAATTGATTTGATTAAAATACAAACGATAAAAAAATTAACAAAATTGGGTATTTTCAACGACAAATATCAAAAACTGGTTTAAACTGTCACACTAGTTGAAGATAAAGCATCAAAAATTTAAATTTTTATAGTATATTTCAAACATTCATTCAAAATGCAGATGTGCAGCAAATAAATATCTGTACAACAATTATAATAAAAAAGTATAGTTTTGAGCCGAAATATTCTCACACTATCTATTTTCCTCTATTAATGTTTTATTTAATTTGACAATTCTCATCTTCATAAGGTATTTCGAAATACATATTCATCTTTACATAGTGAATTTAGTTATATTACTGAAATAAAAATAATTTTATTGCATTGCAAAAAAAAATTTTTAAACCTCATATCTGCTAACATTAGAGAAATAAAATAACGGAGATTTTACAACCGACATTTTTTAGGCTACAAGTAGTTTTGATACATTATGCATAATCACGCAAGTCAAAAAGAGAAATTCAAAACTGGAAATTTAAGCACTTACATTTAGCGAAATAAAAAATATGTATTTTAAATCTTAATCTAAAGATTTTTTTAATCATTATTTATAATTACTTAAACTATTAATACTCAACATACTGCAGTACTGGAAATAGCCCCCATCTGTTGAGGAATAAGAAGCATTTTTTGCCATCAGCAGAGATATTATTGCTAATTTTTTTTTTTTTTTTTTTTACATTTCTTCGAAAAATACAAAGTTTGTAAATATACAGGTAAACAGGAGAGAGTCGTAAAATACAGGAGTCTTCCTTAAAAAACAGGATACTTGGCATGCATGAAACCTTACATAATTTCACCAAAAATTTATTAATTGATTTCCTGGGAAGACAGTGTTTATAGCAGATCTTTTATTATCATACATTAGCCTCTTTTTCTAGCATATTTATGCAATAAAATGATTTTTATTTTCAGAAAACGACATTTTTTTTACAACATGTGTCAATTAGCATTAAAAAAATGGTAATTTAATATTTAACATTACAGGCAATGTACTATTTACCAATGCACAAATGTTACTTTTTAAGATCATGCAGAGTAGTCGTCATAATGGTTTTATCTAAGGTTAAAACAATCAAAAACTTGCTAACCCTCATAAAGAATGTAATAGCTCAATAGACAATTAAAAAAAAAAAACAATATACTATTACAATACATTATACTATTAGAAGTTCAATAACTAAATATACAATTAAACAATATTTAATAATTCAGCAAGTTAATTAAACAATTATGAATATATTTCATGAATCATCATATATTTATGAATAAAATATGCTAAATCTGATAAAGAATGGAAAGAAAAGAACAATTATATACAATTATAATAGATTATACATTTAAAGTCTAACATAATGTCCAATAATTTTCAATTAAACAATGCTCAATAATTCAAGAAGTTAATTAAACACTTTATGGATATATTTTACTACAAAATCATTTTAACATTTATATAACTTAATTACTATATAAATCTAAACTAATTAGTAATTATTATAAACCTAATTACTTGTTCAGTCTTGAATGTTCTAGGGGAGACAGAATTTACCCCATTTGTTACTATATTAGCAGCACTGGTAGGTAAATTTTCTGTATAATCATCTACACTGTCATCAGATTCCATATCAAATTATGGAAATGGCATTTTTTTCTACAGAAAATAGTACAAAAATATTAAAAACTAAAATATTACAAATTCACATAAATTATGCTGAATGCAACCTTTTGTGAGTATATTAGATGTTTGTCAATCGAAAAAAAGAAAGAAATTTAATAAATGAAAGTAATAACTTTTGTCCACAGAAAATATTGATCAGCAAATAATAAAATTAATGCTAAATACAATATGAAAGACATTTTTGTGGCATTTATTAAAACTTTTAAAATAGTATTTTAAAACTTAGCTGTGTTTGGCAACTTTCGAAATACAAAATTTAAAACTCTAAGCACAGATATGAAAGAAGAAAAAAAAAATTTTTAAATCTGAACACTTTTTTTTCTACTTTTCCCAAAAAAAATATTATTTCTAATTGTGACTAATAAAGTACACAAAAAGCTCAAATATCAAAGTGTAAAAAAAAAAGTATGTTTTCGAATAAATTTTAATTAAAAATAAGGAAAAAAATAAAATAAAAAAACATTTATTTTTAAGTGCCAAACTACATGTGCTAACTTTAAACTACAAAAAAAAAACTAAACTAAAGAAAAGAAAGGAGATTTCCGTATCGTTATCTGTGGCAGAATAATTACCAAATCTTGGAAACTTCCAGGCAGTGGCCCGCAAGAAACTAAAAAAAAAGCATACCAGAAAGGGACCAACTCAAAAGGTAGCTTCCCCGGGCAAACATCTACATGTTTTGCTGTTTAAATTTGCAACATTTAAAAACTATTTGGTACCTTGGCGATTGTAGTTAGCATAACAGATCAAGATACGGAAATATCCCCGAAAAGAACTTTAAACAAAAAAAAACTAATCAAATTTTATAATAAAATATGAGATTATTGCACCAACTGAATACAGAAATAAGACTCCATACAGAATATATATGAGGAGGAAAAATCAAATATAGTCTTAATGCTATAATTTTAAACACACATTTATTTATAATTTGAATAATGAAAAATATTTACCATATAACATAATAGTTCTACTTAAACATAGTGCTAAGTCTTCAACCGATCAACAGTAAACCCTGTAGAAGTAAATGTCTCAATAGTGTTGTCCCAAAAACAGCTGCTAAAAGAAATTCATATAACTATATGAATGCATTGAATACACACAATTAATTCAAAAATTTTGTTTGTAAATAACAGAGTTAAATAATGTTTAAATTCATGATATTTCAGAGAGCAAGTAGCTTAACATAAGATTATCTTTTTAATATGCGCATAAAATTTTTATTAGGCATTGATTAACAAACAAATGTGAGCAAAACAATATAATATGCATATATTTATTTATATTATTTATTATAGATGTCACTTATACCCATTAGAAATTGTAAATAAAATTAAAAATTAGAGATAATATAGGCATATGGAAAATTTCTGTGTCAAAATAAGAATGTCCTTTAAAAAAATTTATTTGTAAAAATAATAAAATATAAAAAATATCACATATATAAATTATAATCCTACTCCCCCCTCCCCCACAAAAAAAAAGCTGCAGATTTATTTTTGTAATACCTACTTTAATAATAAAAATAGTTGATAACAAATCAAGACACAGAATACTTTAGAAGATGAATACAAATTCATAAGCCTGTACTAATGTTTTTAATTTTAATAGTATTAATTAAAGTACATATTTTTGAAAAGCATCAATAACATTTCTTAGCAAACATAATTTTTTTTCAAGAAATTTCAAATAAAAAATTTCAATTAATAAAAAAAATATTTATTAAAATTTTTGGGGGAAATTTGTGAAAACGCACTAAGTTATTAAAGATTGTAAATTTATTTTATCTTTTTCAAAAATCGGTTATAAGTAGTTAATCTAGTCATTTGCATATTGAAATGGGCTTGAAATTGATAAATTTCGATAGAAGCTAAATATATCTAGTACCAATAATGCTGAAACAACAAAACTTCAGGCATGTTTGTATTAAAATGCAACCTTTAAATGTTTTTGTAAAGATGAGAAAGTTTAAGAAATTCAAGTCTCAAGAATTTGTTTCAATTTGCATATTCAAATAACAACACTATTATAGTTACGCAACTTCAAACAATAAATTATGCAAATAATGAAAACAAGAAACACATGCAAACGTTACATCACAGCCAAGCGATTTGCAACAAATAAATAAATCTATCAAAGTCTATAATGACATCAAATTATTAAAGCGCACTGCATCACTAATTACAATAATGTTATAGCCCACCGAGCGTCTTACTGCAAATCAACCTATCAGCAAACGGCCGGTTCCTACACCATTCCTACCGCAGATATAGATATCAAATATCAATATTCATTCATAAAACATATTGTTTTATAGTACATAATAACCTCAGATTACAATTGAAAAAGCTAATAATAGCGCACATAATGTAAAGAATAAAACTTTAGGAGTTATTTCGTACAAAAATATAGCCGCCAAACATCACCTCCCGCGAACATTCATGGCCAAGCACTTAGAAGCATCAGTACATGCCCACCGCACTATAAATTATGATAATATCACAAAGTCAAACGAAAACCATGCGTTTTCTGTTTACGGTGAAATTTACATTGTTTTAAGTTTACAAGTAAATTGTGGTCAAAACAATTGCAACAGTGATCATTTATAATAAAAAATAAGCCAAATTTATTTTTTTAAGGAATGTAGCGTTACTTACCCTTTGTTCGGAAGATGTCTTACTAAGGGGTGAAAGTAAAAATTAGCGGAATTAAAAGCTCCCAGTTGAGTCGTTTACTCCATAAACTGGAACTTGTTAGTTAGATGACTCTTTAAATCGTTCTAAATTATTTGAAAGTCAAATAACTTACAAATAATTAATTAAATAGCTGTCATATTAACGGCGCGCCAAATTCCGTTATTTGTAAACATAACTGACCCCTCACTTTTACTTGCATCGTATAACTCCGCAACAAGAAATAAGTTCGTAAGAAAAACCTTTTTTAAATGTTTGAAAAAAGAAATTCAAATAATAACTCCTGTGCATTACTATACAGTTTAATTTATATTTGAAAATTCTATAGCTTATTATTTTTAAAGACTTTTTGAAGAAATTATTATTATTATAGATGGACTAGGAACATATGAATAGGGCTGAATGGTAATGTAAACAGAAGGGGTGGTATCATTTCATGAATACGATGGATGTAAGGAATTTAGAGGAAGCAAGTCGACAATTTAATGAGGCAGCTTAAATTTATGCATTAATAGATTAATATCGAAGTGCGCGTCGCTGGGAAAACAAGTGTTTAAACTTGGAGAGCATTTGTTTACATGTTAATGGCTAAAATAACAGTTGAAGAAATCGAATAAAGGTAATTTTTTTAACTTACAATATAAATAAATTGAATTGTCACATGACGGAGTTACACTTTACTATTTATTTACTTTTCATAGAAAAAATAAAATTTGTAAACTAAATTATGGTGTTGCATACAAATTGTGCGAAGTGTTTTTCTTGTTGTCAAACTATTTATAAACTGATTTTAAAAAATAATTTTGTTTCAAATATTATAACAATAAAAATTTCTTCTTATCTCAACTTTGTTACTGTCAAAAACATGTGGTATTTTGTATGTATTTTGTGAGTAATTTACATTCTAATGTTTGGGCTTGGTTTTAACTTCTAATCAAAATAATGGTTTTGTTTCCCAGATTAATAATAAAATTTTTCTTTATGTATTAAATCTTTAACGCCAAATACTAATTAGTAATTTCATTAATTGTAATTTACAGATGAGTGATCATGATGTTGAAGAAGAGGAAGAATATTCTGATTCAGATGATACTGAAGAAGTTAGTAGTTTCTTTATATTAACTATGCAATTATGTGTGTTGGAATAAAATTTTTGTGGTTAAACTTTTATTACTGGTGGAGTTAAAATAATCTTAATGCATAAAAGTTAAAAGTACTGTAACAAGTTCAATTTTAAATTAGTATAAAATCACAATTTTTGTCATTATTATTATTTCGTTTAACTGTTTTAAGTTAAAAATATTTTTATTTACATTTTAAGTCAAGATCTGACAAATAAAGAAATAACTTACTGAAAATGAACAATCCATATAGCCACCTTTGGAGATATTTTATACCCATGTGTATCCTACTGATAAACTTTCTCTATAATGGAATAACACTCCAATGATAATATTTTATTTCCATGTTATTTTGCTGAATGAAAATTCATTTAATAGAATGGGGATATTTTATTTCCATGCATTTATCCTATTTCAAAAGTCTTTCCTACTGAGGATGCTACTTTCATTGATTAATAGATAAATGATAGTTTTTTCAATTAAATTGATGAACAGGCAGTGTAACAAATTAGCCTTCCAATAATGATATTTTATTTCAAAGCTATGATAAACTCAAACTGAGATCACAGTAGGAATTTCCAGCTGTGTATAGATCTGGCTCTGTAACTTTCTTTTATTTGTATCAGAATCTACCTCTTAATTCCTTTAATTATACTTGCCTAAATCATCTTTATATCAAATATTAAGTTTCTTTGAATAGTGTTTTACTATTTGAATTAATTGTTATATTGCCCATTGTTGAACAATCTTTGTATTAGCCTTCTAATGGTGATATTTTTTCTAAGACCGTGGTAAATTCAGGCTGGAATCACCATAGAAATCGAAATCCAGTTGTGTAGCATTTAAACCTATATGTTTTGTTTGTGTAAGGAATCAGTGCTCAAATCTTTACCTAAATCACCTTTTTTCAATTCTATATTCAAGTAATGTTTTTTAGTTTATTCATGTCTTTTATCTAATAAATTGATAAGTGTTTAGGAATTACGATTGATTTATAGTTCTATTGTTATATTCATTATTATTTTAAGTAAAAGAATCATTTAAATTAATGATCCTTAATTTTTCTGAAATTAATTTAATATAAAAATATTTTATTTTAATAGGAAGTAGAACCAAAGCTTTGTTATGAAAGAATAGCAAATGATGTCCCTAATATTCTTCTTGGAAAGGATGCTGCTAGCTGTATTGCAGTTCATACCAAAGTAAAAATTTATTGTTTAAATTTATTTAATGTTTTTTTATATATATATTGATTTATTTTTCATACTTTTGTTGTTACTTTTTGGAGATGTGTGAAGGACATGCTATTTATCAATTGTGAAAATGTCTCTAAACAAAATTATTTATCATCATTTATTCTGTTCACAATATTCCCATTTTCAAGAACTAATTAATTTAGAGATTTACAGTGAAATAATGGTAAACAGAATGAATACATTGAAACTGTTTTTCATGAAAGATTTGACAAAAAGTCTGAAATTTTATATATGTTCTTGTTTTTTATTATTGTAATGAATTTCAACAGAAATATATTTTTAAAAAAACTATTTCATCATCTTTGATTTTCAAATAGGGCATGTATAAATTATTTAAAAATGTAGGTGTATTAAAATTAATTTCAAAAGTGAAAGCTGCAAAATATACTAAAAGCATTGCATTAAATACAAATAAGCATGTATAAATAATGTTTATAAAAAAGAAGGGGGGAAAAAACTTCCCTAAATGACATTTGATCATCAGATCCTAAGTTATGAAAGTCCTACAGGGTGGCTAAAAAATGCTGTTTCTTTTATCAAATAATTTTTTGTACAGATATTAAATAGAAAATGATAAATAAACAAATATGATGAACACGATAAATGGAAGTTTACCCTTAAAAAAATTTTTTATTCAAATCCTTGAATTCTAAACTAGTTGAATTCTAAAAGGATTTAATACAACTTGGTTCAAAGACTTGTTTCCATGGACTTATTTCTCTATGGCTCTGAAAATATACACCATCAACGAATATTAGTCCATGACAAATAAATTTGTTAGTATTTATAGAGTTTATACTTTTTTAAGTATAAGTACTTTATGTGTCAATGTTTTTTGCATAATTAATTAAAAAATACTGAGGAAAGCAGTTATGGGTATTTTTTATGCATCATTAGAAGAAATTTAATTTCATATCTTGATTTTTAAAAATTAAAATATGAAAGATATTTTTAGATATTGTAAATGTGAGTAATTTTTTTTTCCAGTTAAATCTCTATGCTTAAAGTATTTTTTATGTTATCTGAATATAAATAAAAATTACAATTAGTTATTTATTTGAATTTTTATGTGAGGCTTTAATAACTTTCTTACTTTATTTTTTGATGGTGATACATTTGGGATACATTTTTCTCTTTTTCTAGTTTTTAGCTTTGGGTACACATCTTGGTGTTATTCATATTCTTGACCATCAAGGAAATAGCATAAGAAATAAAGAACTTGATTTGGTGAGAACTTTAATTGTAATTTCTTTTTCCTAAATTTTTTCAAATAACAATATTCATATTATTTATATCAATTAATTAAGTATTCATTAATCTGTTAGAATGTGTCGATATTTTAAATTCATTAACTCATTTTCATTCTCTCTATTTTTTTATTAGCATATTACAACTGTAAATCAGATCAGTATTGATGAGAAGGGAGAATATTTGGCATCTTGTGCATGTGATGGAAAAGTAATTTAATGTAATTTGTTTTGAGCATGATTTTCATATCCAAATATTACCAATTGTTAAAAACATCTTTAATTTCAGGTTGCTATTCATGGATTGTACTCTTCTGACCTCAATGCACATGTCTTTGTTCTCAGACCTGTCAGATCTGTTGCTATTGACCCTTATTTTGCAAAAGGAAGTGCTCACCGTAGATTTATAGTTGGAGAAGATAAGGTATATATGAAGTAATGTGAAAGAGGAAAATTTCAAGGTGGTCATTTATTGAATTTGAGTAAATTAACTTAAAAGGTTATCGCTTGACGACAAGGAGAAATAACGATTATGCCTTGGCTTTATTTTTTTCTACAAGTTTCCAATTCATACAATCTATAAATTCTCAACATTCACTTAAACTGTTCACATCATAAAATGTTTTTCAGATACTAAACAAAACTTTAAAGGAATATGTCTGATGACAGGTTCTTTTTAATTAAGAAAATTCATAGTCCTGGGCAAATATCTTACTTGTCCTTATGACAGCTCTGGCTACATCTCCCATTGTCAAAAATACATAAGAAATATTTTTGAAAATTTGGACTTTACTTGTTTTTTTCACTGAGCCCCTCAATTAATTCTTATTGGATTATTGAGGCAATTTCTAATTCTAAGTCAGTATGTACAATAAGAATTAATCAGTAATGTAAAATAAGAATTAATCATTAATGCATTTTTAAAAGCATTTTCAATAGACTATATCTCTTTAAAGGTTTTATAATATTTTTTTTTAAAAAGATATTATTTCTAGTATTAAAGTTTTGATTTAAGAATTCAGAGAATTTTTTTTATTTTTTTTCTACTTAACAAAAAAAAAAAAAAATTTTTAATAGCTGTTAGTCAGTTTTTTATTTATCTTAAATATTTCTAATGGATAACTATTATAGTTTTTTCCCTTTACCCCATACCAATAAAAAAAGCTAAGTTTTGATTATTTTTCAATAATGAATAAACTTATTTATAAAAAGAAATATTTATAATGATTGTTTTAAAAACAAATGTTGCTATTTGGCCATATTACTATATATTACATCCCTATTTTACAGGTTGTTCTTTACGAGCGTCAATTTTTGACTGGCTATAAACCAAATGTCTTATATCAAGGAGAAGGAGCAATAAGAAATATAAAGTGGCGTGATAGATTTGTTGTTTGGGCCAGTGATAAAGTAAGATAATTATTATCCTTCTTAAAATAAATTAACAGTTTAGCTTTAAAAATTTTACTTTGGCTCATCCTTTAATTGTTTAAAAAAAAAAAAAATTTCTCAAAAAAAAGCTATAATTTTGTTAGCTTTTTCATATTTTATCATAAAAGTATTTGATATCTGATTTTACTTGCCCTTTTTTTTTATTTAAATACCCAGTTTTTGTAAACTATTTTTACAGTGTTATTTTATTAATGCAACAATTTTTCATGTAATTTAAAGAATAAAGTTATTAAAATAGCAACTTTTGTAGAGGTAATAATGCTTTATGATAATCAGTAGTCTCTAGCTATTGGAAATGCAAACAGTTCACTTACGCTACACTAAATATTTTCGATATATGTCGCAATTTTGAAGCAGTTTTTTATTATTATTATTTATGCTGAAATACTGAAAATAAGTTGAAATATTTAAAAAAAAAATAAGCTATTTATACAGGTTCAGGTATTTGCTTGCGATTTTATCAGAGGAGGTATATTAATGATAAAGTAATAAGCAATAATTTTTTTTTTTAGAAATTTAAGGAAAGTTTATCAATTTACATTTTTAATGATGAATTGTTTGTATTTTACTTTAAAAGGCAAAATGTGAATAATTTTTGTCAACAAATATATTGATTTGAAATTGATGGTTTCAGAAATTTAATTGCTTAGTCAATATTCATTGTTTATTTTTCCTCCAGACTGTTCGTGTATATGATATTAGCACAAGTAGAACAATTACAGTAATTCAGAGAGATCATGATCCATTGTGAGTACTATATATTCACACACATGCTGCATTTATGTTTATATTTTTAATAATATTTTATCTTCTTGTTTTTTTTAATTATTCATATTTATTTTAACTATTAGGAATAGCTTTTAAATTCTTTATTGAATGTCTAATCAAAGTAACTTGAAACAGTTTTGTGCAATAAGTTCTTTTAAATTATGTTTCTGCATTTGATTTTGTTATTGTTTAAAAAATACTTTTTATAAAAAACATTGTTCTTTATTTCAGAAAAAAAACAAAGCAGAAACATGATATGTAATTTGATTATTTAAAAAATCATGTTAAAAAGTCATGTAAAATCATTGCTTTTCACATTGTTCTATTAAACATTTTCACAACTCATTCAACCACGCTCTATTTCTTTGTACTGTTGTCCATAGCATATGAAAGCACCAATCATTTTACATGTTTGATGAAATAATTGCGAGTATGCATGTGCGTCTACTAGACTGGGTTCAGTGAGATTATTGCTCTCTCATGTGCAACTCAGCTGCAATTTGCAAGATATTCCCACATTTTCCACCCTCTAATATTGAATCAAAAAATCTCTTGATCTTTTTATAATGGCTAATGTAATCAAGAAAAGAGTTCTTTGTCAGAAACTAGTTATTTTATTGTGGTCATTTAATGTCTTTGAAAATTATTTTGCATTTTGTTAATGTATATAGTGCTTAAAAATATATTTTGAGTTCTTAATAAATATTTAAAAGGTGGTTATTTTTTGTTGAAAGATTTGGCTATGCACCCTGTCACGGGAAACAACATAAGCCCTTTTGTACTCTAATATGAATAGAGTTTTCTTTCACCTCATTGGGCAACTTCATGGGTGTGAATGACATCATCATCATAGTTGGTCAGGCAGCCCAATGTAGGCCAATGCCTTCCTTTGAAGGCTTCTCCATAACGACTTCCGATTTATCTCTGATCTCCAATTCATTTCATTAATTGCAAGAAAATCATACTCTACCAAATCTGCTCATCTAAACCAAAGCCTTCCGCGCTATCCTGTTCCAGTGGGTCTAAAAAGCAATCTCTTTATTATTGTATTGTCATCACTCATAATCACATGGGCCATCCAATTCATTTTAGTTGTTTTTATACATTTAATAATATCGGATTGTTTTTAAATCTTGTGCAGTAAAATTGCCTTTTCCAGTTATTATTTTTATTTAAACCTTTTAATCTGAAAAATCTTTCTCTCGAATATTGCGATACACTTTTCCTAAAATGTTGTCATTGTGTAAGCTTCAGAAGCATAGACAAGACAGGTCTGTCTCTTGTCAGGGTGTGAATGTAAGGAAGAAAAATTTACTTTCCATATCTTGAGAAATGACCACCAATATTGATCCATTGTTCAATAGGAATATTTATTTCTCCCCCACTCTCATAGATTGCTCTAAGTAATTATTTTTGCTGAAATGAATTTTTGTGAAGCTAAACTTTTTCTTAAATTTCACTAATTGAGAAGTCAAATAATTTTTTAGATACAATTGATATGTTAGAAGAGTTTTTGAAAACGTGTAAGAATTAGAAACCAAAACAGCAGATTATTTTGTTAGTCATCCTCTCTAATCTGTACAATAAATCATTTTAGTTCTATTAGTTCAGTAATTTACTTTTATTACTTAAATTACTTTTCAGTAATTTTTTATTTGCTTCTTCAGAGGTAAAAAAGAAAAATAGAGCACTGAAAGTAAGTAAACTTTCTAAATTTTGTCTAAACTATAATATTTCTTTTTTCTTTATAACTTTCGATTATTTTTAATGTAATTGATCATATTTATTATGAGATGTATAGAAGTTATTAATCTAATATAAATTGCAAAGTATGAGCATTTATTAAAATCAAATATATATATTGATTTGCATCTTCATAATAGAAATTTAAGATTGGTAAGCACAAATAGATAACAGATATTAATAATCGAAAATGTTGGTGTGTTGTACAATTTTCATAAAAAAAAAATTCTCTGAACTGTTAATGTGAAGGAATTTTCTGTCCCTCTTAGAGTTGACGTTAACGACGTGTAATTGTATAATAAACAGAATTGTTAATTGACTATTAGTTTGATTATATTGTTAAGGTGAAAAAGAATTAAACTGAAAAGGATTGAAAAGAGTATTTCTAGATTAACAAATTAAGAGAAAAATATTAATCTTTTAAAGCAAAGGTCTGAATATGTGTTAAATTTTAATATTCTTTTAATCAGGTTGAGGGGCGATTTATATCGCTGCAATTTGTTTTGGAAGGACAGCTCAACTCTCTTGATTGGCTGGGCCAATAGTGTTAAAGTATGTCAAGTAGTGCCATCAGATGGACTCAAAAATTCACTTGTGCCATTGAAGGAGCAGTTGTCACCACCTCACTTCTATGTCAAAATCAGTTAGTTTCCCTATGTTTAACCTATTTTCAGTTGAAGAGTTTTGTTAAAAATAGAACATAACTGTATTTTTGAGTGTTTTAATTAAATTTGATACTATCATGTGATAAAAATTAATAGGATGTTTTCAGTTTTTAAAAAAATTGGGGGCAGTTAAAAAGCAGGGTTTAAGCAGTAAAGATTAAAAAGCAGGGGTCAGTTTTTAAAAAGATTGTTTTAAAGAATCTTCACAAAAATTTAAGTCTCAAAATGTGAACTTTCACTAAATTTTAACCCTGAACTCTAAAATTCTGAAATATATCTTTTTACAAATTCCATAACTTTGAAAATTTTCCTTTCATAAAATCTGTTATTTTTCTATATAGTGTATTTAATATTATATTTTATTTGACTTCTTACATCCCGAAAAATAATTTTCATTCTCATAACTTCTTAAAGTCACTGAAAATATTACCTACAGCACTGTAAGTTTTGCTTGTTCAAATAATTCTATAAAATATTTAGTTGAATTTTAAGTTGTAATTCATTTTAAAATATTCAGTATACTAATGCAGATATTTAGATGTGTTAGTAAATTTTTATAATTATAAACAAAAGTCATATCAAAATGATACCTGCACAGGCTTTGTTTTATGAGCATTTATTGCAGTGTTCTCCCTAAGCGTTTTTAGCCCTTCCTACATTTTGATGCACCCTCTTTACCCTTTTTGTAAAAGTAAACCGCCATCCCTAAAAACCACTGCTTTTTTATTCATGTTCTATTTTTAAAAAATTAATTCACTGTTTAAATAATAATTACACTATGGTAAGATTATCTCTGTTTATAGGTTTTAATTCTGATTACTATTACAAATATTTATTTTGTTAGGATTATTCTTAACTGGTTTAATTTTTATAAAGCTTCACTTTTTTTCTGGGGGAGGGCATATAGTAATTAATTTTTTAAGTGTTTTTAAATTTTAGCATTATTTTTTTTAAATGAATACCTTTTTTTAAAAAAAAAAATGCACCTTCCAAAGTTCATTTCTCATAATTTTCACCTTAAATTATAAAAAAAGACTTTCAAGTTGTTTAGCCACCATTGATCATTTTTTAAGTTTACTTTTTTTTGTTGCAAAAAAATTGTGCACAGGGGTTGTTTTTTAATTATTTTTCATAAACTAAAAGTTTTTCTCTTTGTTTGATAATAAGTGAGAATTACTTATATGAAATACACCCATAAAATAGTACAAGAGGGTAATTTAAAAATTGTTGATGATCAAATTCATTTATTACATAATACTCATTTTAATAAATTTTTGCAGTGTTAAGTGAATGCCCTTTCAAAACTTATGAGTGCCTTGCCCTTTTTTATTTCAAGGGAGAATTCTGTTACTGATTGCTTATATAAGCAGGAAAAAAAATTTCAATAATCATTGTCCTAATTCTGGAACATCTAGAATTTTAAGGGTATCAATAGCATAAGTGTGGCAGATTTCCAAATTTTGAGGAAGGACGAAATTAAAATGCACAATTCACTTGTTCTCTAAATTCCAATCATGACAAAAAATTCTTAAATCTGTGAAAAGATTCACCTCTTTTTATGGTTTTACAATAATCTCAATCTATAATGATTGATAAAAATGTTCTCTGTTTGTCTGAAATATTGAGAAGGAATTTTAGAAATTTCAAATTGAGGGGCATATACCCAATGTTATCTATTGATGATATCTGGTCTTAAATTAAAGTATTCTTAAATATTTTAACTTAATCAAAAAATCAATTTCTTCTCCAAATGTTTGCTGTATATTTTATACAAATTAATTTTATTATTGCTCTTTTATTTTTCAGCTTCAATATTCAACACTGATTTCTTTATTTGTGGAATATCGTCATTGGGTGCTGCATTAGTTGTTCTCACTGTCTCTCAAACAAATGATGTAATTTTACTTTTAAATTTTTTAGTTTTTTAAAAATTTCCTTTTTGAAAATATAGTTACATTCATATAGCTAATCATAATTCTTAGAATAGAAATCTACTGGGGGGGAAAAAAATCTAACAAGAAATTTTGTTTCGTGAGTGTGTATTTCTAGTTTATTGATTTCTGTATGAAGCCATTTCAGCACTGTTTAAGCCCTTAAGGTGAGGACAGAGAATATTTTTTATTTACTTATGTTTTCTGACATAGTGAAGGGAGTTCAAACTAATGCAAAAATATGCTTTTGTAATATTCTAATGGCTTTAACTAAAAAATTATTTTAATATTTTCTATAAAATATGTAACATATTTAGTTTCTTGTTTGTATTTTTTTACTATGTGTTAATAAGTATGTTTAGAAATAATTCCTTATTATTGTCAATTATAAAATTAGTTTTATTAAAAAAAATTGCCTCAATATTTTATTCTCAAATGCTATTATTTTGAATTAAGAAAAAAGCTATTAAAAGTTAAAACAGGGAAAGAGTGGTGTAATATTCTTTTATGCCAATTTTATGGTTTGACCTCTGTTATTTTCATTTATTTATTTATATCTTATTACTGTCAATTTAATTCTCTATATGTTGTATATTTAAAGAAATAATAATTAAAGTGTTTCTTGTGTTTATAGATTAAGTTTAAGTTAAAATATGATTTGTTTTGACGTTAAAAAAATAAATTGTTGACTGTGTCTTGTGAGCTCACTTGCTATTTTCTCCTGATCTCTCTGTATTTTTCAACCCAAAAAGCTGTTTTTGTGGTTATAGTAATTAATAAATGATCAAATTCTTGGATAATTTTTAAATAAAATTTTTTATTTTTGGCACTGTGTGTAATATGGTACATCTAAACTCACCGATTAAAAAATTGCTTATGGTTTGCCAAAGGTTGGTTACCCCTGTTGTTGATTACTTTATCATGTGCTTGAACAACATCCTAAAATTNGGGCATTTTTTGTCCTTTATAAGGGCATTTTTGCACTTTTTAAGGGCATTAGTTGAGATTTTTTAGGTCATCACAATCCGGGCTCTATTGATTGCTTTATCGTGTGCTTGAACAACATCCTAAAATTTACACAATTTTTATATGGATAAATCATTACTTTTTAACCATTGTGTCCCTGAAATGTCACAAACATTTCAATAGTTACATATAAACAATTCTTTACTGTGGAGTATTCATTTGTTCTATCAATTCTCTTTATTAAAATTATACAATCACTGTATTAATCATCAATTTTCTTCCTTAATTTAGGAAATGGTTTATTTTTTATTTAAATTCTATTGACTTTATTTTCGTAGAATGATCTGATATAATTCTAGGTAATGCATTGTCCAACTTCAATTATTATTTCACATTTTAAAAAGTTTATTGAAATTATATTAATACTAAGCAAAGTTATCATTACTTATTTTCTGCCACTTAATCAAGATTTCTATGTTCTTAATTTGATTTTAATACTAAGATAAAGAATTTTATTTCAAGGATTCCCTCTGCGTAGGTTCCAGACCTCAGCTAAGAGTGATTGAAGCTGATGGCGAAAAATACAACCTCATACTAAGTGATATCCTCACTCTTAGAGGTTATCAAGAGTATAGATGCATTGATTATCATTTAGGTAAGAATGTTTTCTCAACGTTACCATAAAATATTTCAGAAAAATTTTCTGTATAGATTTATTGATCAGGTTTAAGTTAAAATTTGAGTTGCATTGAGGTTTAAAAACAAATAATAAATAAATTGTTAACTTAACTGTGGCTCACTTGCTAATCTCTCAAAATCTCTTGACGCTTGTGTTTTTCAGCTCAAAAGCATTAGCATTTGTTACATACATTGTGCTGTGAAACATTTGTATTTGTTGTTAGTGGTAGTAATTTAAAATTATCCTTAAAAAACTCGTATTTGTATCTCTTTTATTTTTGCTCTGTAAATTTTTGTGTAACTAACAATACACAACTATCTAATAATTTTGATATGACTAACAATCTACGGTTTCACAATAGGGTGGGTCTAGGACAGAGATGGGCAAACTTTTTTGGTTGAGGGCCAAAAATTGAGAAGAAAAAAAAGTTTGCTGGGCTAAGTAAAAACTTCTAAAATAAGAAAACGATATACAAGTTTTAATTTAAATATTTAATGAGTATAATTGCGATTTCATTTTTAAAAGTTCCTTATATTGAGGTTCAAAGTGAGGTGTACTTATCTTAAGGAACGAGGCTAAATGTTTGTCTGTTGGTCTACTTCTAAAAAGATTTTTTCACAGGTTCAAAGTTGAAAACACTTGTTCACATACATTAGAGGAAGCAAACATAGCACTGATTTTCTGGGCATGAAATATTAAATTGGGGAAACTAGCTTTTGGTAATGATTTGTAAAACTCAAACTTTGACATACTTAGAAACAACTGTTTCAGATGGCGCAAATCTACGGCTATTCTATAAAGAACTTCTGCTTTCGAGATTTTACCAATTGAAGCTGTCTGTGCTAGCTATTTAAGTCAATTTATGTTTTGTAGAACAAAAATAGAGAAAGTAAAAAGGTCATCAGTACTTAGTTAAAAAAGAAAGAACAAAAATAGCTTTAAACAGAGTTGACAAGAAAATGGATGTATATTGTTTATATTCGCCATGGATTGGCAAGTTAAAATTCTATCCGCGGATGGGATCAAATCTTCCGGCAGGCCACAGTTTGCCCATCCATGGTCTAGGAGTTTATCCCAATGCCATATAGCTGTCACAGAACCCCAGCTGTAGATGTGCTGGTCGAAACAATATCCCATTGAAATTCTTACCTAGCATGATGCTTCCATTGCAGAATGCTTGATGTTCTATAGCCTGTAACATGAACCTTGTTCTTTTTACTAAACGTCCTGTCATAAAATATCATCATCAGCACAACTGCTCTGGATGGGCCTTGACCTTCCCCAGAACATTTTAAGCATTAAATATAGTTAACTAGAATATATAATTGCCTCTTTTTTTTAAAAAAAAAATAGCACTCATTTTAACAAAATTTCATAAAGTTGATGTCTTTGATTTGTTATATATCAAATGAAACTTGTTATTTTAGATAGTTTAGCTGATGAAGGCTTGTATTTTATATTGAGTTTAAAAGATTTTGTTGTGGCAAAACCTAGGAATGATGATGACCATATTGCTTGGCTTATTGAGCATGAAAAATATAAGGTGAAAATTTTTTTAATATTTTTTCCAGATATTTATCCTTTTAATTTAATATTTATTGATTTAGTATTTATTAATTTAGTATGTACTTTTTATTAGGAAGCAGTGGAAGCTGTTGCTGAAAGCAAAGAACTGCGAAAATATAATTTAATTGTGAGTATTATTTAATTTGTTATTTTGCAATAAAAATATTGTCAGTTATTACATTTTAATCATTTGTGAGAGTCTTAGTAAAAAATACATCAATATCTAGTAACTAGTTAACTTTTTTATTATCTTTATTAAAATAGTCTTTTTTTTTAATCTCTGAAAAAGGGCTTAATTTGTCCCATTGCCAACATTTGTTGTAATGCATAATTTGCTTTTAAAAAAAGGTAAATAATTCATTAAATAAAAGTAGCATGTTACACTGCACCGGTTCAATGAAAGATGAGTTCAAGGATCAGATCTTAAGGGGCAGAAGTGTGACAGGAGTATTCATCTTCATCTTTTCTCTTCCCTGGCAGTGGATAAAAATAACAATATTAGGATGAATTTTTCAAACTAAAATGCCTATAAACTTAATACATTCCGTATAGCTTACGTTCGATATGTGTATGTAGTTTTTAAGTTTAAAAAATAAACTAGCAAAAATCAAAATTATTTTCCATATCAATTCAAAATATATCTTCTGCAAAATTAAGATACAGCATTCACAAACGAACATAAAGACATTTGTTTAGTATTGTTATGTTAAATTTCAATTTTGATACCTACCCTGCGTCATTTTAAAGTCAAATATCAGCCAGATATTATTTGTAATTAAGGTAAACTTTCATAATCTAAATTCCATTTTCAAAAGAAAAACAAATATGGTTATATTATTTTTACTTGATAAGTTTGATATATTTTTATACTAAAAATAAATATTGTTATTTATTTTAACTGTAAATTTTTGCTTTTAGTAATTTAGAACATATACATAGACAGAATAAATTAATCTTGGAACGGGGTCAGATATTTCAATCAAATCTGACATGAATGAGAAAATCTGACTTTGTTGGTCAGTTTTTCTCATGTTGATTTCTTAAACTTCTGTACTATGGGAAAGTACAACTTTTTTTGCATAGTAGGCCACAAAAGCTAAAAAATACCATGTTGGAAGCATAGAATTTAAAATTTTTATTTACCCCAAAATTGTTATTATTAGAAAAAAATTTTTGTTGTTATTACAGTATTAGGTGACTGCAATAGTTGAAATTGATATCTTGAAATTTCCTTTTTTTACCCATTTTTTAAAAAAATATTACATTTCTATGTGAATAATATTCCCATGATCGTAAGCAAAACTAAATGATGACCTTTCAAGCTAGTAAAACCAAACAGCAGGATAAACAATACAAAATTATCTTCTTACTACAGCACATTTCTAAATTTTCCTACTCTTTCTTTAATATTTTTTTATTAATAATAAAAACTATCAAGGACTTTATGGTCTACTTTTCACATGTTTGTACATCCCTGTTCTATTATATTTATGTGTTTTGCTTCACTCTATATCTTGACATTAATGATAATGTTTCTCAATTTACTCAAACAATCATCTGTCAGGGTGCGTAGCGTTTGTAAAAAGTACTTAAAGGTGCTTTTTTGGGGATTTCGTTATTAAAAGCTTTTAAAGGTGCTTTTTTCAGCTGGCGTTTTTAAAAAGTGCTTTTTCTTCCGAATAATTTTTCCCCCCCTTCAGTGATATCTGGTGGATCCCATGCATTTCACGAAAAATGGGGAGTTTGCTACGTAATCATTCCCGCGGACTTCATGTCGTACCCACGTTATGACTTGCGCATGCGCGCACACTTGAAACCGAAACCCGAGTGCTCCAATTCGGATAGAGAATATCAGATCCTTATGAAATGTTTTTCNAGAATAAAAATAGAGAAAGTAAAAAGGTCATCAGTACTTTGTTAAAAGAGAAGGAACAAAAATAGCTTTAAACAAAGTAGACAAGAAAACGGATGTATATTGTTTGTATTCGCCATGGATTGGCAACTTAAAATTCTATCCGCGGGGCGGATAAAATCTTCCGGCGGACCACCGTTGGCCCATCCATGGTCTAGGAGTTTATCCCAATGCCATACAACTGTCACAGAACCCCAGCTGTAGATGTGCTGGTCGGAGCAATATCCAATTGAAATTCCTACCTAGATCACGATGCTTCCATTGCAGAATGCTTGATGTTCTGTAGCCTGTGACATGTACCTTGTTCTTTTTACTAAACGTCCTGGCATAAAATATCATCATCAGCACAACAGCTCTGGATGGGCCTTGACTATCCCCAGAATGTTTCAAACATTAAATGTAGCTAACTAAAATATATAATTACCTCTTTTTTTTAAATTAGCACTAATTTTAACGAAATTTCATAAAGTTGATGTCTTTGATTTGTTATATATTAAGTGAAACTTGTTATTTTAGATAGTTTAGCTGATGAAGGCTTGTATTTTATATTGAGTTTAAAAGATTTTGTTGTGGCAAAACCTAGGAATGATGATGACCATATTGCTTGGCTTATTGAGCATGAAAAATATAAGGTGCAAAAAAAAATTTTTTTTTTTCAGATATTTATCCTTTTAATTTAATATTTATTAATTTAGTATGTTCTTTTTATTAGGAAGCAGTGGAAGCTGTTGCTGAAAGCAAAGAACTGCGAAAATATAATTTAATTGTGAGTATTATTTAATTTGTTATCTTAGAATAAAATTATTGTTAGTTATTACATTTTAATCATTTATGAGAGTCTTAGTGAAAAATACCTCAATATCGAGTAACTTTTTTGCATGTAAACTTTTTATTATTTTTATTAAAGTAGTCTTTTTTTTTTTTAATCCCAGAAAGAGGGCTTAATTTGTCCCATTACCATTGTTTGTTGTAATGCATAATTTGCTTCTAAAAAGAGGTAAATAATTCATAAAATAAAAGTAGCATGTTACGCTGCACAGGTTCAATGAAAGATGAGTTCAAGGATCAGATCTTAAGAGAGCAGAAATGTGACGGGAATATTCATCTTTTCTCTTCCCTGGCCATGGATCAAAATAACAATATTATAATGAATTTTTCAAACTAAAATGCCTATAAACTTAATGCATTTCGTATAGCTTACATTCAATTAAAAACTTATGTGTGTGTGTAGTTTTTAAGTTTAAAAAATAAACTAGCAAAATTCAAAATTATTTTCCATATCAATTCAAAATATATTTTCTGCAGATTTAAGACATAGCATTCACAAACGAACATAAAGACACATTTGTTTAGTATTGTTATGTTAACGAACATTTGTTTAGTATTGTTATGTTAAATTTAAATTTTGATACCTACCCTGTGTCATTTTAAAGTGTCAAATATCAGCCTGATATTATTTGTAATCGAAGTAAACTATCAAAATCTAAATTCCTTTCTCGAAAGAAAGAAAAATGTGGATATATTATTTTTACTTCATAATTTTGATATTTTTGTACTAAAGATAAATATTGTTATTTATTTTAACTGTTAATTTTTGCTTTTAGTAATTTAGAACATATAGATAGACAGAATAAATCAATCTTGGAACAGGGTCAGATATTTCAATCAAATCTAACTTTGTTGGTCAGTTTTTCTCATGTTGATTTCTTAAACTTCTGTACTATGGGAATGTACAACTTTTTTTGCATAGTGGGCCACAAAAGCTAGAAAAATACCATGTTGGAGGCATCAAATTTAAAATTTTTATTTACCCCAAAATAGTTATTGTTAGAAACATATTTTGTCGCAAATTCAGTATAGGTGACTGTAATAGTTGAAATTAATATCTTGAAATTTCCTTTTTTTACCCATTTTTTAAAAAATATTACATTTCTATGTGAGCAATATTCCCATGACCGTACACAAAACTAAATGTAGCTAGTAAAACCAAGCAGCAAACTCAAGCTAGTAAAACCAAGCAGCAGGATAAACAATAAAAAAATTTCTTCTTTTTACAGCAGTTTTCGAAATTTTCCTAAGCTTTCTTTAATATTTTTTTATTAATACTAAAAACTATCAAATGCTTTATGTTCTACTTTTCACATGTTTGTACATCCCTGTTCAAAATATATATTTATGTGTTTTGCTTCACTCTATATCTTGACATTAATGATAATGTTTCTCAATTTACTCAAACAATCATCTGTATAACAGTTTTACTTCAATGATAGATAACCTTTTAAATAAATCCAGAATTACTTGATGAATCTCATTAACAATGTTAGTTTTTGTCTAAAAATCTTTTAGGCATTTCCTGTATATATTTTAATTTTGTTTTATTTTGTTTTCATGCAGACCGTTGGCAACCTATACTTGGATCATCTTTTAGAGCTTAAACAGTACAACGATGCTGCTTCCTTGTGTTCAACTATATTTGGTGACAACAAAGAGGTGTGGGAAACTGCCGTGTATCGTTTTGCAGAGATTAAGCAATTGAGAGCCATTGCACCGTTCTTACCAACAGACCAAAATTTAACTCCTGCCATTTATGAAATGATATTAAATGAGTTTTTGCAACATGATCAGAAAGTAAATACCTGCACATCATTCTTTAATTTATTTATTTTTTGAATTAAAAAATAAGTTATTTTTCTGGATTTTTATTTAAGATAATTTTATTTTATAAGAAAGACAAACAAATTCTTGTTATTGGTTTGATTTTACATATAACAAAATATTCTCTTTAAAAATCTATAAATCTGTATAACAATAAAATAATCATCATTATTTACTGTGTGATTCACAAAGTAAAGTTTTTTCATAATAGCTTTATTTCCATTAACTGTTAACTATGTTTGAAATTATTTTCTTTATTATAATATAGTTTTTAATCATTTTGTATGAGACAGTCAAATATATATTTTTTAGCGAATTTATAGCATTTACAGTAGACCAACTAACATAGAGCTTTTTTCTAAATTTTAAATTGAAAATGCATCTGAATTATTTTGTTAGTTATCATACCATACCTTAAAAATCAATCACATACTGTGTCCTGTACTTTTGAAAGAAATTTTATATATCTTGTGCAATGTAGCATTCCGTTCATCATTTATAATAGATTTACTTCCATTAACTATGAATACTTTTTTGTAATTATTTTCGTTATTATTGTATAGTTTTTATAATTTCATCCTTGACTATATATCTTTCTTTTAAACTAATTTATAGCATTTACAATAGACCAACTTACATTGAGATTTTTTTCTAAATTTTAAATTGGAATATGCTTCTAAATTGCTGCCGTTTGGCTAACCGTGAGAGGTTCTCGTGGTCTTCCTCTTCATATAAGGCAAATGCGGGTTAGTTACGCGAAGGCAAATTTCTCCTAATACTTGATCCAGTAGTTCCCTTGTCTTCTGGATTAGGTACAAAATTATAAGGCTACAGAGTAGTCATAAACCCAAAATTGGGTCGGCTGTTCGACGACAGTTATAAAATAAAATTAAAAAATTTGACTGTATTACTTTCTACATAACATAATTATGACTTCAAACCTCTAGCTGTTAACTGTTATATTTCTTCAATAATGCCATGGTTTTCCTAACCATGATTATAGTGATCACAGTAGATAATATACAGCCAAAGCTTGCATGCAATAAACTATTCTTCATACTTCAGCNAATCTAAAATGTAGCAGATACCCTGAATATACAGCCAAAGCTTGCATGCAATAAACTATTCTTCATACTTCAGCCTATTGTGGGTATTGTATAACTGTGTTCAATTTCTGGCCTTACAATAAAATATTCATTTTACTTGAGCCTATTGTAGATAGTGTTGAGCTGTGTTCTATGTCAAATCCTAGTTCCCCTTTTCTATGAACTTATCCTAGATAGCACAAAGCTTATACAATAAGCTACTGCTTTTATTTAATAACAAAGCATAAAAATTTTTAGCACATATTTATAAAACAACTTATTTCTTAAAATATAAAAAATAAATTTATATTACTATATCAACTTTCAATATGATTGTATTTAATTTTATTTTTGGTTAAACTTTTATGCCTTCTATTGTATATTCTGACAAGCATAAATCTTATTGTCTTAAGGGTTTCTTGGATCTTGTACGATCATGGCCTTGTAACGTTTATGATGTCCCGACTATTATAAGTGTTGTATTAGAACAATTGGGCTTATTTCCAGACTCAAAAGTACTTTTGGAAAGTTTGAGTGAGCTGCATATATATGATAAAAAGTTTGACAAAGCTCTAAGTGTCTTAATAGAGTAAGTATCTCTATCAAAATGTATTTTCAGTAATTTTTCTTTGCATCCATTAATTTTTATAAATTATTTTAGTATTTTTTACAATTATACTCAAAATGTTAATACAAGAGTCATTTTTTAAGCAACAACTGTTTTATGGTGGAGTCAGAGAAACTCTATAAATGAACATAAATTGTATCACAAACTAAAATTACTTTATAAACACTTTTTAACATAGTTATCATTAACATTGGAACATTTGTAAAGTCGTGACTGTTTGATCCCATCATCAAAGAACTCTGCCACCTACCTATTAAGCCGGTTTGTAAACAGTCTCTTTCAACATGCCATTGTTTTCCAAGTCTTTCCTACCAAGAAATTCCATAAGTTTTGAAAAGCAGATAAAAGTCTGATGGTGCTAAGTCAAGACTGTATGGTGGCTGATCCAGTACTTCTTGTTCACGATAATAGATCATCGAGATAATCATGAACGTTTGTTCTTCCTTCAATAAAAAGTCTACACCATTTACGCACATTTCTGTCACTTATTACACTTTCACCATAATCTTTAACAAACTATCGATGAATTTCAGCAGAATGAACTTTTTTTGCATTTAAAACCAAATAACTAAACAACTCACTTCACAATTAGCAGGATTGTTAATTGACATGGTGACAAACGTAGCAGTGTAACCATGCAACCAGTACTTGCAGAGATGTGAAACCAAATTGCTGGTGCAATGAGAGATTTGAAAAGGATTGCGGACTTTGAACTGGCATCACTTGACAGGATGCGCAGACATGATTTGCAATCAGTTCTTACTTTAAAGATCACCCTTGTTCTTTAGGCTAGTCTTTCTCTAACTTTGTGTCATTGTTCAAAGCTTCATCTTGTAGTTAAATTTTAGAGTCAAAAGGAAAAACTTTTTTTTCACCATAAAAAAAATGTTAAATAAAAATTATATTTCCAACTACTAAGCTGCCGAAAGTTTTCTATTTTTTCCTGATGTTTATGAATTTTTTTACTATATAAATGAATATTTGTTTAGTAAATTATGTTTCTAATTAAAAAAAAGAGGAATTTTAGATTATAATCTCTTTATTGAATTGAAAAGAATACTAGGTAAGGAAACATCCTAAATTTTACTGGGAAAGAATACTTGTATGTATAAACAGAAATTTCTTTGCATAAACTTATATAGTCTCATATATATTTATTTCGTAATACTTTATACGTTGCACGGCAACTAACTGTTTTATATAAAATAGGGACTCAAGCTGAAAAGATTTATTTCAGAATGTTGCACTTATCTGCTATCCACTTTTTTAGAAATATAATTCAAAACTTCTTTTAATATTTCTCCAATATTATCTTGTACATTTACAAAGAGTAATCGTTTTTTTATTTATTTATTTTGAAATTTCTAGAGTAGCATTACACTTTTAATCAAAATCAAATCAGTATGTTAAAAACTTTTTAATACGTTTTTTTTTCTTTTTTTTTTCTGTTAATTTTATTTTTAAAGTATGTATTTTGAATTCCATTGAGAAAGAGTTTTCTTTTCATCATAACCGCTTTTTTTTTAAATAAAATTAGTAATGTTATTTCATTTTTTAAGCATGTAAGTGTGTTTTATCTATGTATTAAAACTAAGCTGAGCAAGCGCATTAATTGAATCGAAGATGAATTTTTAAATTTTCCAACTTTACAAAAAATACTTTGATAGATTTTCTTAAAATGGAAAAGAAGTTTGAAGGAACAACAAAATGCAACCAGTACAAAAAAAAAACTTGAACAAAGCAATGAGATCAGAATTAAGCAAGTACTATCTATCCAATGTTAAAATTTTCAGCAAGAATAATGCTAATAACCATAATTCCAAAAAATACAGGAAGAAAGAAATACTTTTTTCAAATTAAAGTGGATTTTAGAGTAGTTTAGAAGTTTCTGGGCCCGGAATCTTCAAACAAAAACACACAAATAGATTTTTTAAAGAAAAATAGCTTTGTTTGTTGATTGTTGTTTGTTGCTGTCTAAAAGCCTAGTTGGAATCTAGGCCTAAGTAAAATTTAAGAGAAAATCTGTTAAACATTAATTACAAAATGTATTAATACTTCCTATTTACTATTATTTTCCAAAGCATTCGTTTGATTCAATTATTATGCTTACTACTGAATGTATTTAGAAGAAAGATGGACTAGACCAGGACCTTTAGAAATTTTTTTCAGATTCGACAGCTATGGGAACAAAATTGCTTAATGGTTTATTTGATTGATAAATTATACCTTTTGCTCCAAAAATAAATAATGTCTTACGTAATAAAACTATGTTTTAGAAGGTAAACTAGATATTCTTTGGAAAAATCAGATGTTATCCTTTCTAGTTTAATTAAACCCGATATGTATTCAAATAATTAAAAAATACAGTATTTTCTTCATAAAATATTTATTTATACCATTAAATGAACTATTATAATCTTTCTATTTTGTTAAACATACTGAGTTTTGTAAATCACGAAACATAATTTTGAATTTTTATTGAACCAAGTTAATTTATCAGATTTCAGACCAGAAATCGTATATTAAACTTTGATCATGCTCTTCTGAATTGCTGGAGGCCCTGCATTTCTCTATTTTTTACTGTATTTTGTAAATTTAACCTTAGATTTTGACCTGCAGCTTTTGTACTACCTAGCTATGTCTGACAACTGACAATGTCCCAGTTTTGTCCATCAACATTAAAAAAGATGCCTTGGCATACTTTAAATGTGTTCAAATCTTGCTATAATAATTTTAAAAATAACTAAAAGATGTGTTATCAGATGTTGAGCTTACCTAAAACGAATCTTAAAACAATTGGAAGCTACAAGTAACACAGGAATTATCAACAACTAATTTCATGTGATATTTGATGCAGTAATCTTGCCTAAAGTAACAGTTATCTTTTTTTCTTCTCTACTTGTTCTTCGATAGTTCACAGCTGTTGAAAGTAAAGCTCCCGTAATAAATCAACTTTTATTTTTGTATTTTTTAGAATTAGAAGTAAAGACAGGGTGTTTGAACTGATACAAAATCACAATTTATTTGGAAGTATTCACGACAAGCTAGAGACTTTAATGGATTTGAATCCAACAATTGCTACAACTATGCTATTAAACAATGTGGACAAAATCCCTGTTAATCTGGTGGTAGCAAAATTGAAAAACAAGAAACAGTTGCTATATGAGGTAATTCTATCTTTTTCCTATTGAAATATTTCGTTAACTATATTATATGTATACACATGTTATATTTAATCTATTGATTTAGTAATTATTTTATTCATCTTATTTCAATGATAGTTATATCACTGTAAATTTACGAATTTAATTATTTATTTTGCCGGCTAACAATCCATTTCCATTCATAAAAATTTTTGAATTGAAACATCAGACAAGTAATTAAGCTCACCTGATATGGAGTTTTTTAGTTGAAATTGAGACAGTATGGATATTTTTCAGCTTTCATTTTTTTCTTTTGAAGAGATAAAAATAAATTAACTCAGGTTATAGAAAAAAATTAGCAATTGCCCAGAACCACAGAACAACTAAATATAACAAATTGCAGTTAAGAAAAATTATATGCCAATTGCCACTTTTTTCCTCAGAATTGCACCTAACATGTATCTTATTGCTTTAAAATAATTTATGCACATGAATATTGAATTCTGAGTTCTCGCCGGGAATAAAAATCATAAGGTCTCACAGAAAGGGTACTATGAGGTTTAAAGGGTTTGTGTTTTTCACTTAACACCTTATGTGTAATATTATGTAATTACTAAATTTAATCCTCAACAATTTTTAAATTACCCTTTCATAATATTTTATGTGTGTATTTTAAAATGTAATTCTCCTTCATTATCTATATAAGAGAAGAATTCGTGTTTTATAAAAAATAATTAAAAGCGAGCTAAAAGACAATCATTGTGCACAATTTTTTTTTTTCAAAAAAAGTAAACAAAAAAAAAAGTTATTAATTGATAAACAACTTGAAAGCTTTTTTTCTATGATTTAAATTGAAAATTATGAGAAAGTAACCAATTAAGGAAGCATTTAAAAAATAATTTGAATCACTTAAAAAATTCATTAAAATTCAACACCCCCGTAAAAAAAAGAGAATTTTGTAAAAATGTAACCAGTCGAAAATAATCATAACAAAATAAATATTTGTAATAATCCCAATTAAACCTATAAATAGAGATAATTTTACCAGTGTGTAATTATTATTTAAACCGTGAATTATTTTTTTAAGAATGGAATATGAATAAGAAAGGCATTGTTTTTAAGGAATGGTGTCTTATTTTTACAAAAAAGGCAAAAAGGGCGCATCAAAAAACAGGCAGGTCATTCTCCCTAAGCATTATAAAAATGCTTCTGATAATAATTTAACAATGTTGTCCCTAAGCATTTTAAAAATGCTTAGGGAGAACACTGTTAAATTATTAATACCTTATAATATTCTGAAAACTGCCTAATATTAATCTTTTTCCTTAATATTTTTCTTCATTTTAGAAATGAACCTTGCATTGTCAATTATTTTTTGCTAAATGCCTAAAAATATGCATTATTAATATCAACAACTTTTTAATTTTTGAAAAAGTGACCATTTGTTTTAAAAAGTAGCCACAGTAAAAAAATGTGGACTCTAGCAACTAGCAAAATTCCTTAATATTATCCTATAACTCAGGTTACATATTTTTTTTCTAGTGTTTTATCTTTTTTGTCATAAAGATTTAACATTTTACTTTGGTGTATAGTTATAGTAGCATCACAAATATTTCTTCTATGACAAATTTTTAAGTAGTCTGAAATAATATATAATTGTCTTAATCTCAGATTAATGCAATTGAATTTCATTTCTTTCATTCAACAGCTGTAATGATGAAATAATCAACACTATGTAAGGGAAAATTGGGATCTCTTAAAGACACCTTTGGGAATCATTTTGCCATAAAAGGGGGCTATCCATCAATTAAACTACTATAAAGCAAATCCTATTAGTTGTAAAAAATCCTATTTTCATTTTGTCAATGAACCTTTTGCAAAATTCTCCACTTTAGAAATGCCATCTTTAATTCATAAATTAAAACTACAACTCTTTCAAAGACATGATTTTTATAGTTTTTTTCCTTAACGGGACCCTTTTGTAAAAAATTTAATTCCACACTAATTTTATATTCATAAAATTGACAACAGTTTTTCATGAAGGTAGGATCTTTCATAAAATTATTGGAAAAACTTTCATTTTTTATAATAAATCCCTATATTTTTATAATCCCTATTTTTATATAAAATCCCTAAAAACACTATTTTTACAAAATTATGTGTAGATTTTTCCTAATAAAAAACGGGATCTTTTACAAAAATATCTAGATGAACCCTTGCTACATGAAAAACTTGAAAGGATATGAAATATTTTTCAGTATACCTACAATATAGAATCATGATACTTTTGTTGAAAGTTGGAAAATACCCCTGGCATTTAAGTTCTTCTTATCTTTTTCATATGCATTATCTTCCTTATCTTTTACCTTGTTATCATCTTTAAAAGATATTTCATGTTAAGCATGTTCACATTAAAAATACTTAAAAGCATTATATTTGCATGCAATGTGATAGGAAATAATTTTTTTTTCAAGTAATTCACAATTAAGGAGATTTGACAGTATAACCAGTACTTTAAATCTGAAGTTCATACTGTTTTCTATTAGTATGATTACTTTCTCCACAGCAAATTATACCCTCTCCCCCTATACAGACCCCTTCATGAAAGTTATTTCATGCATAAAAAACAACCCTGAAAGATGTTAAGAGTAAAGAAAGAAATTTCCATTCCTCTTATAATGATAAAAAATTTTAATTAGTTTTCTTTCTTTTTAGTATCTACATAAAGCCTTTTTGAAAGATCCTACATTAGGAGAAGAACATCATGGTTTACTTGTTGAATTATATGCTGAATATGCTCCCGAGCAACTACTTTCATTTCTCAGAACATCTAACAGCTACTCCCTAGAATTTGCTTTAGATATTTGCCAACAAAGAAGTTTGATACATGAAGTGGTTTTTCTATTAGGTAAGTTAATTTGGTTATCAAAGGTGCCTATTATTATGATATCATAATCGCTGTCTTACCGTTGGGTAACAAAAATTATGGGTTTTGAGAATTTTCATAATAATGTTTTTAAAATAGTTTTTTTTTTTTTTTTTAATAAAATTTTTTTATGATAAATTTTTCTCCTCTTTAAACAATCCTAAACACAATAAATTAAAAACAAAAACAGGGTGCGTACAGACTCCTTATACTCCTTGAAATTAAAAAAGTCTCCAAGGAGTACTTGGAACTACTTAGATTTCCAAATTAGTCCTTAGAAACTCCTTAGATTATTGTGTTGCATAGATGAACTTACTAAGTCCCCTGATAAATTTGCTGTCCAAACAGGGAAACTAAATGCTATGACTTAGCTGTCAAAATCTAATAGTTTAAGGAAAACTTTAAAAGAAAAAAAATTGAATAGCAAGAGTAAGAAGAAGAAAAATAACAGCAAATAATTTTAATTTTACATGCTTCAAAGGAAACTTAATTAATAATTTACTGTGATTTTTTTTTTTTTTTTNTTTTTTTTTTTTTTTTTTTTTTTTTTTTTTTTTTTTTTTTTTTTTTTTTTTTGTATAAAATACCTTAGATTTTCGTATGTATTCAAATTTTAAAATTATAAGATTGGTAGGGTTTTATGATAATCTTTAACAAGATTTATTAAAATATTTGAAACTGGAAAATGTATTAATGTGTAAGAGTGATAACTTTATTTTTCTTGATGAAGTTTGACAAAGTCAAAATTTATTTCAAAAGGGCTAGAAAAAATATGCAAAATATACATTTTTGCGAGTTTCTTATAATAACTCATTTTTAATTATAAAAAAAATCTTTCTAGTTATCCTTTACACAAAGTTTTAAAATTTTTGATAAGTCCTTAAAATTTTGGACTCCTTAGATTTCTTCTCCTGATCTCTGTATCAATCCTGAGCATAAACAATTTGATAAAAATAAATTTGAAAAAAAAAATGCAAATCTCATCTAACCCCCCTTTCTAACAAGATATTCCGATACTTAATCTTCTCTCCTTCGTGAAAAGGTAAAAAAAATAATAATAAAATCCGATTGTTAAATTGCAGTTCAGTATTGTACAATTTTTAATTTAGTACCTTTTATCAAAGTAATATTTTTTGTGTAATTGTAAATTCAGGCACAATTTTATTAACATCATATATCTATATAGAGTTAAGTAGTATATTTGCCTTAAAATCATGGTATGATTTTACGATGCATGAATTTCAAATTTGAGTAATCACTTTTTACAATATATGTATCTGTGTGTGCGTGCGCACTAAGTCAATTAATTATTGATAAAAGGGAAAATTGTATGTTTTTTTTTTTTAATGAAAAAATATTTTTGATAGATTTTTAGTAATTAAAATTATTTAATTTTCTGCAAATATACTAATTTTTTTCATATAAAAATTTAGTTCTAGAACACTAACTTGCATATAAAAATTATCATATATCATTTTCTAACACTAAAAATTTTTTAAATTTGTGTGGCTTAAATGACTTATAAAAGTACATCGAAAAGTTAAGAAAGTATCACTAATTCTTCAGGTCGAATGGGCAACACTAAGCAAGCTCTAGAGCAGATCACAGAACAGCTTCAAGACATTGATCAAGCTATTGATTTTTGCAAGGAGCATGATGACAAAGAGCTTTGGGAAGATTTAATAAAATATTCCCTTGACAAACCCTGTAAGTCGATTTCTCTTTGTTTAAAATCACTACATCATTATTGAATTCATGTTTTATATCTGTCTAAATTGTTTGCAAAAATTCTGTTTCATTTGTTAGTTCTATCCTTTAATTTCAATTTAATTTTTTTTTTAAATGTAGAACCCTAAATCCTGATAATAAAAAAAAAATAAACAACTAGAAATAAGTGAATGCTACTCACCATTAGGTTACACTTAATGAAACATCGCTGAGACACTAAATAAAAACAAACATTCACACCTTAATATTTTATTTCTGAAAACAATTAAAAGCGTACAGCTAAAAATATGTTTCACAACAACCAATTTTGAGAATTATTTATGTAATTAACAAATATTTTACAATTCATTCAAACGATATATTTATTAGCGTTAATCAGAGCTGGAGCTGTAGAATTTTATAACAAAAAATTTTATATGAAACTTTCATAAGAAAAATAATGAATACAAAATTTTAATATAATTTATTATAATCCCAGAAATTTAGAGTATAATCCATATGAAATGAAAACAGTAAAAAATTTAAATAAAAAAGAGCACTTATTATCTCATTTTAAATGAACAATTTTAAGTTTGCTTATTTTACAGGTGGCATTTTTACAATTTATTATTCACAAGAATTATGATTTATTGCTATAAATTTGCCCAATTATATCTTAGGCATCTCAATTATGAATACAAATGTTTATAATCTAGATAAAGTTTCATTAAATACATAGCTTTTTATTTTATCATTCTTGCCCAATATTTTCAGGCTATTCAAAACTTACCAAAATGAACAATTGAGATACTTAAATATTTCATAAAATGTTCATTCAAGATTAGTAAAGCACCAATTTTTTTTTCAACTCGAATTGAAAAAATTAGCTGAATTGAAAATTTATAATAAAATTCGGCCTCAATTTAACTAGCTACAACTGCCAAGGAAATAAGTCAATCTCCCAGAAAAAAAGAAGTGGCAAGGTTTAACCCTAGTTTTGTAGAAGTTAAAACACCCGGAAACTAGAATTACTACCCAATTGATCAATTACAAAAATAATTAATAATAATAATTAAAATAATAATACAAAATAAATTATTGAACAACAAATATAAAAATATCTCATTTGCCTGAAAATAAGCAACTAAAGTTAAGAAAAAATGCTAAAAACAAGTGTATTTAATTAATTTTTAATGGAATTCATCCCAATAACTAGAAATTTAAATCTTTAACTCATGGCAATAAAATCAAGTGTAGATAAGAAAATATAAGTGCCAAGCATTACAAAATTAATACTAGCTATTTAAGCCTCATTTTTAAAATCATTTTGATTTAAAAAGCATAAAATATTGTTAGAATAATTACTTGTATACCTTTTGAAAGTGAATGTTCTTTTTCTAAAATTCCTTTTTAGTGTTACAAGGGTTGCTGTTTTTTTTTTGGTGCTATAAGTAGTTTTTTGCTTTAATTCAACACCGATTTTAAGAAATCATGTGTTCATCATAAGAAAATAATAAGTCCAAAAAAAAATCTAAAAACTGATTCAAAGCAAGAAGCCTTAAAAAATAGTATCATTTCTTCAATTTCAAAATGCTGTAATAATTTCTTTCTAATTTTCGTAATAAGTAGCATTCTTTCACCTATTTAATCATTTTTTATGGTAATTATTTTGTTTAGAAATGTGAATGTTTTAATCGAAACTTTGCATCTGAAAAACAATAGTTTTGTTTATTTATTAACAGCTTTTATAACTGTCCTGCTGCGAAACATTGGAACTCATGTGGATCCAATTATGCTGATTCAAAAGATCCCAACAGGAATGGAGATTCCAGGATTGAGAGATTCTTTAGTCAAAATCCTTCATGATTATACATTGCAGGTAAGCAAAAGAATTTGAAAGCAATATTATTGGAGTGTTTGGTCCAAATATATTTAACTAGGAGGCTCCGCCCCCTGCTCGCTAACGCTCGCCAACCCCTGAGAATTGCTACGCAATCCTATGTGGTTATCGCCGTGAACCATGGCTCGCTGCGCTCGCTTGCCAACAAACACAATGTTCTAGCACAAAGACATAGTACATTATCATGAAAGACATAGTATTTTATCATCAAAGACATAGTATTGTACTTATGTAGAAGAATTCTACCAATGTTCTTATTGGCTTTTAAAAAAGTATATTAGCTATTTAGATTGTACATGGTGAAAAAATCNGAACTATTATAAGTGCTAGTGAACCATGCATGGATTAAGGAAATTATTAAATTTGTTTGTAGAAGTATTATTTTAAGCTGTAATTAAAATAACTTCGAAAATGGTTTATTGATTTTGACTCATTAATTTCTCAATTTATTTGATTCATTGATTTCTCGATTGATTTTGTATTTAAGGAAATTTGGATGACTTCTAGATGGGTTTTTTTTTATATATACATATATATAAATTTGGCAAAATTGTTTCTGTATTTTCTTTTTAACATCAAACTTATATATAACATGCTTTTCAGTGTTCATAGTTTATAATACTTTTAATTTCATTTCATAGCTTTTATTAATGATGTTTCACTTTACCAACTGCACATTACCTTCTTATTTATTTTAAATCCTATAGTTTAAAGCAAAGTGTCTTTTTATATATTCAACATTCAATTCAGTTTTAAGCCTTCTAAAACATTGCATTTCAGATTTATCATTTGTATAATTTGCAAGTAAGTGTAGAAAAATCAGTAAGTCCGTAACTAAAATTGATTTAAACCGGTTCAAATATTTGTTATAGAACTTTTTTCCACATTCCACACACATTTTATTTAAAACTTTATTTTCTACCAAGTTTTGTTTGGGTGATTTATTATCACTTTATAAAATCAGTGCTGAATTTTTTACAGAACAATTTCATCTATATAAATAGATATTATTAGTCTTTTTTATGGAAAAACTGTTTTTAGTCGAACAATTTTATAGGAAATTGCAATTGCAAAATAAAATCAATTACCCTTGTTTGTAAAAAAGGTAAAAGAAGATAACAATTAAAACTTTTAAAACAACTTCTTTTTGTTTTGTTAACATAAAATTACTTTAACCACCATTTCAACAATATATTCTAACCTGATGAATTTCTTAATTGTTTCACTAGATATCTCTTAGAGAAGGATGTAAAAAAATTTTAGTTTCTGATTGCTACAGTTTACTTGAAAAGCTTAACAAACTGCAGAAAAGAGGAATATTAATCGGAGGTAAGCAATCCTAGAATTTGTTTACTATAATTTAGACATTTTGAGCATTAGTCATGTTTATTTATATCTTTTATTAAAACTTCTTGGTTGATGTATAAAAATATTATTATATAAATATAGTATAATTATATAAATATAGTATGTAATAATGTTATGTAATATATCTGAAAGAGTTTTAATGTATTTCATTTATAATCAATATTGCCATATTAGTATGTTAAAATGCTAGTTAGCTCTTCTTGTCATAAAAGGAGCTAAATATTATTTTCAAAAGATGAAAATTGTTTCATTATATCCCTGTCAATGAAAAGTTAATTAATCATTTATGATTCTAATGTGGTGTTATATTTCAAACCAAAAAGTTTCAAAATCTAAGTTTAAAATTAATTTTAGAAATAAGATAAGCGTAGCTTAGCAACATTTGTATAAGCATTTTTATATAAGCATTATTTGTATAAGCATTTGTATTTAGCAACAATTATATAAAGTTTGTAGGTATTTTAATATTGTAATTGTATTTTTGTATCTTATTTATTTTGATAAATAATAGGCTTACATGATTATCGACTTGTTAAACTCGTTGAGCCTTCCACTTTTAGCTGCTGGTTTTCCTACAACAAAAAATTAGTTTTCATCTTGCTTTTCAATGTAGTTTTTCCTAAGGGCTCAATGATTGAAATATTAAATATCCCATTTTGTTATTTATGTGTTTCTGTGGAAAAAATAGGTATAAAATTCCTAAAACTGTCATAAACAAGTACATTGTAACTCTTTTGGAATGTAAATGCAGTATTTAAATATTTTATACTGCCTTGCTTTTTGCTTTAAATATTATTTTTATTTGCATAATTACTATTGTAATCTACAAATGTAAAATTTTTATTTCATTTTTATTGTTAATGATACGAAACTGCTTTAAAACTACTGATATAGATTTTTGCAAACATAAATTTAAAACAAAAATAATAACTTGTCATATTGCTTAGTATTTTAGTTGATATGCGAGTCTAGAAATCATTGTAATGATTTTATTAAATAAATAAATTTAGGATAATAATTATCATTTCTTGCTATGCTAGATTTCATATTTGACGTATTTAAATATATTTTTAGAGGATCAAATATGCCCTTTGTGTGAAAGAAAGCTGCATACAAATGGTAAGAAATTTTCAATATCAATTATTAAGTGTTTTTAAATTCTGTATTTATGTATTAAAAAAAAGCTCATAGTAAAAAAATATAACAAGCATGCCATGCAAATGTTATTGATATATGTGATTATGTTTTTTACAAATATAAGTTCTATTTTCCACAAGCAATTTAAGCTTACCTTTTTTTTATTCTGCAGATTTTAACTCATTATTTTAATAAATATGGAACTTGGTACTTCAGATGATCTGAGATTTTCTTTTTAATTAACTTGTTTTCTTTATCTATCCTCTAATTTATTTTCAAGCAAGCTAACTTTCTTTCATTTGGGTCATTCTCACTGAAAAGGTATAAATAGACTAAAAAAATTTCATAAATTAAAGTAATTCATAATTATCATAATAATGATCAAGTTTTCTATTTTATTTTTTTACAAGATTTAAAATATTTTAAATTCTGTCTTGTCCACGGAGATGTAATAGTCAACGGAGGAGACATTTTATGTTATAAAATATAAAATGTCAATGAAGACTAATTCATTAATTATTGGGTACAACTGATATGAGTTTAACATTAATAAGTAAATAATAAAATATTTCATTATTAGAGATAGAGCTACTTCCGATTAATCATGCTGCTATGAAAGGAAACATGCATTTTTAACCTAGGTGTACAATTTTTTAAGTAACTCTTACTGAATATTAATAAATTAAAATGTAAAGACTATTGAAATAAAAATTCAGACTCCACATGAAAGTTGAGTGTTGAGGGTACTCTTTTATGAACATTTTATGCAAGTTAAACATACTGTCATCCAAATAACGTTTTTGTTTTTTCTCTTTTCTTCTTGTTATTGTTTCTTTTTTCCCTGGGCACAAACGGCTTGCTCTATCAATTTCTAGAAATTTAAGTACATTTAATCACGATTTTTCTGTTAAATCTTTTTCTGATACAGATTTTAAAGTTTCTTGCTCTTTTTTTTTTTAACTTTCTTCAAACAATATAGGGTTTTCTTTTAATTTCTGTCTAGCTTGTCTCATACTAAGTTTTTTCTGTTCCCTTCTCTTTTGCATTTGAACATTTGATTGCTTTCTTTTCTTAAATTTTGGTTTTGCAATTTTTTTCCTAAAATTTGAAGAGAAAAAAAATGTTAAACATCACAGAAATTATTTAGAAAAATTGCCAATATTTACTTCTCCGATAAGAAAAAGTTAAACTTAATTGATTTTCTTTAAAAATAGAAACAAATTAACACATTTGTTCCATTTTAAAAAATATCAATTAAAAGAAAATAGTTTTTTAATTATTAAAATTGTATTATGGTTATCTAACACATTGTCTCTTACATTGACTGTGTCTTCTCCTCCGTGGACTTGTTATGTCCACGGAGGAGACAAAAACTAGTTCTTGAATTTTTCTGATTTTTAATTTTAAAGTTACAAAAATGGGGCAGTTCTTTTTGTTAAATATACTATTTTTGCAATCTAAAATTCATCTATCAAAAATAAAATAATTTTCTCTTACCTTCTTTATGATGTCCACGGAGTATACGGTGAGAACTTTGCCAAACCCCAGTTGAACACAACAATCCAAAACTGACACCAAAGAGAACAAAAACAACTGATATTTAACATTAGAAAATGGAATGGTTACCCCTCCCAGCAGCTGTCTTATAGGGATTTCGCATATGCTGCCCTTTATTGCATATTTACAGAACTATATTAATTGTCCACGGAGGGAGACATCATTTTTGATGGACAAAGTTTACTAGTCATTTATTTTATAAAAATAATTTTTTTTTTTTTTTGAAAAAATATTAAGTAAAAAGTTACTATAAACATTTAATTAGTTAAAACTACAAAAATCATTAAAATAATATTTAAATTGTTTAACAGCCATTAAAAATTATTTTGTGTCACAGAGGTAGGGACGTCCACGGAGGGGATTTTGAAGTTATGTTTATTAAAAAATAAGAATGAAATATTAAATACATTTAGCAGAAATGCATATGATTGGTTAGTTAGAACTTTACGAAAAAGGATGAAGAAAAATATTAAGAAATTCGGTGTATTTCCTAATATTTATTACTAAGGGACTTAAAAAGTCACCTTTTTGTGAGAATGACTCATTTTATCCTTATCTCACCTTGGAAAAAAAGTTGATTGTTTTAGTACTCTTAAGCTGTATTAATTTATTGAGCATTAATGAATCATCCTGCATATTTTTTTTGTTATTATTATTATTATTAAGGTTACCCTTTCATGTAATTAATTAATGAATTTCTCTTTCTGAAATTATTTTAAATTTTTTATTTCATTTTATAATTACTATATTTCTATTACTTAATTTATGTAGTAAAAATTTTAATACTCAGTAGAAAATTAAAATTTGTTTAATTAATAATTTTTTTAAACTTAAATAAAGTTAAAAAAGATGCTGTTAATTTTTTAAAACTGTGACTATATTTTTTTTCTCGACTATATTCTCAATGTTACTCTTTTATGTAAGATAACAACTCTGTTTTCTGTATTGTGGTTTTTATAATACTTGCTAACTTAGTGCATTTACTTTATTTGCGTAACTCTCAGTTTCTGTAAAAAACTGTCCAAATTTACCTTTTTCTTTTTTCAGATGTAAGACTAGGAAGTGATATTATTGTTTTTAACTGTAAACATGCTTTTCATGAAGACTGTGTCCCTGTACAAACGGTATGTTAGATAAACTTTTTTTGTGCTTATTTTTTAAAAATCCTAATTTGAAAACATCCTACTCCTGAAATGTTAATAAGTTTAACTAACTATAATAGGAACTTTAAAATAAATGTAACATGCTTGTCTAAAATTGTGAGTCATTTGAAATAAATACAGTACAGAACCCGTTATCCGGAAATCGGAAAACCAAAAAACCGGAACGAAATTCGATGCATATTCCCACCATTTTCAAAAAAAAAACTTCTTTTTTTTTTCCTCATCATTTCTTTCTATTTTGAAAGATGTTTACCTTACCATCATTTTGGAAATAATCATTAGTGTATTACTTCGTCGTTTTTTCTACTTTTTAAGATTATTTCCTTTTTTCTTCTTTTTTTAGTTGGGTTTAACAATAAAAAAACTGCTTTTTGTAGCGATTCAGAAAACCGGTAAAATCAGTTATCCGGAATAGCGATGGTCCCGATCGTTCCGGATAATCGGTTCCCTACTGTATATCAAATGCAACATGATCTTTTCTGAATTTCCTGTTGAGATTTCATAATGTTCCATCAACTTTTAAAATGCTCCTCAGCATTTTAGTCTTTAAAAGATAGTTGTTATGTGTGTGCTCCTGTCAAACAATTATGAATACAATGATTACTCTTTGCATACTTTATTGAAATTTTTTTTTATTAATCACATACTATAGGTTTTTTTCTTTTTTTTTGTAGAAAAAAAGGTTTTAGTTTATTTATCACTATTAAATATTATTTTGAACATTCCTTAGTGATTATTTTTGCCTATTATATTCTGAAATTCTTATTTTCGAGTGTTCAAAATTAGTCTTTGCCTGTTTTTAATGTATTACAAGCTCATTAGTTATTGTTGTGACATTACATTAGTCCATTGCTTATCATTTTAGGCAATAGAAATTCATTTGTTACAATTTATTTTAACTAACTTTTAATTTATATAATCAAATAAATATAATTATATAAATTTATATAATATTATAATAAATATTTTATAATTATTATTTTATAATTAATATAATAATCTGCTTATTATAATATAATAAATATATTATCGACGCCCGGTGGCTGAGCGGTAGCTCTTCACGCTGTCGTGCCGCAGGTCCCTAGTTCGATCCTCGGGCATGGTTGACTCAGCCTTTCATCCCTTCAGTGGGTCGATAAATGAGTACCAAGCATGCTTGGAAACTAAACTCTGGGGGTTCCGCGCTCGGTTAACCACCAGACCAGAACATCTGCTCCTGCATCCCTCAGCCCAAGGTCAAGAAAACTGAGATGGGCACAGTAGGCCTTGGCCCTCTATGGGCTGCCGTGCCGCTGAGTTTAGTTTTAAATATGTTATAATAAATATTTTATATAATATTATAATAATTATTAATAAATTTATATAATTTAAATTATATAATTTAATTTATATAATAATTTTAATCTATATAATGATTCTAATTTGTATTTTATTTTGACAGGAAACTTGCAGTATTTGTAGCGCTCAGAAGCGTGGCGCCCCTGAACTAATGCCCGGTTAAAACTATTCTTCTNAATTATATAATAATTTAATTTATATAATCATTTTAATCTATATAATGATTCTAATTTTTATTTTATTTTGACAGGAAACTTGCAGTATTTGTAGCGCTCAGAAGCGTGGCGCCCCTGAACTAATGCCCGGTTAAAACTATTCTTCTTTGTCAGCGCAACAGCCACTTGCAGGCCTTGGCAGCCTCAACAGCTGACAAATGCCAGTGCCTCCTATCCATTTCAACTCCCTTCCAGTTTAGGTTAAAACTATTGCCATAAAATATATTTTGAATTCCGTTTAATATATATGCATATTGCACACAAAAACAATTTGATTGAAATCTTTCTTAAACATCTGCTTTATTATTTTGAATTCCATGACTTGTAGAATGTGCAATTATATTGAATTATATATAAATTATATTGAATGTGCAAAATTTAGGTTATTGTTTTGTTATGGATAGATATATCAAACCTTTTTTGTTAACTGAATTTGTTAAATTATATGCTTAAGCTATTTGTAAATTATTTGATTTAAATATTTATGAATATCGAAAGTAATACTATGTTGGTAATTTTATAACAAGTCAAAGCTAACTCATAGAATCTAAACCAAACTGTGATTTTATACCAATTGTTTTAACAAAATCTTTTTTTTCCAACAGTAAAAGTTGGGTTTAAATATATATAAATATTAAGATTCATTTAAGCATATATGAATATTAAAGTAATATAATGTTGACAATTTTATTACAAGTCTAAACTAACTTGTACAATCTACAAGAAATTGTGATTTTATACTGATTCTTTAACAAATTTTTTTTCCTACAGTAAAAGTTTTATTTATTCTTAAAAAAAATGCCATAACATTTGTATAGTGTACAATTAAATGTGTATATGTTGTTAAATTAAATTTATTTTTCAATTCTGGCTATGTTTCCTTTTTTTATTTCTACTGATATTTTATTCCATTAGGCTAATTGCAAAGCTTAGTGAAAGCAGATTCCTAGTGACATTCTTTTGAATTTAGTTGCATTGGTTTTAAAACATAAAGTTATAGCATGAAACTTTTAATCTCTTATCCCATTTAATAAAGAAAAAAACTTAAGACTTGACAAAAAAAATTTGGTTTTATACACACAAATGTTAAATGTTTTTTAAGTTCTAAAAATGCCATTTGGCATGTTTTCCCACTAAGCTGTGCAGGCAATTTTTTATTAATTTAATTTCTTCTGAGACTGTTTTAGCTCTGTTCACTTGCAATGATTTTGCTACTGGTATCTATTTTTTTTTTAAATCCAAAGTTTAATCTTTCAAGTTTTAACCTTTTAAAAAAATGCCTATTATATGTCAATTTGTATTTTGATATTACATTTTTAACAAAATGTAATCAGTTTTTTTAAATTTCTCATTAAGTATTTACTCTTGAAATTATCACTTATTGCTCATAGAAATTAAATTTCCTATCTCAGTCAGTGTTAAAATGGCCAACTTTGATGTACTTTTTCTTGTATACTGCATTTTTATAATTTTAAAGGGAAAAAAATGTAAACAAATTTTATTTGCTAGTTTTAAAAGATTTAATTTTAATCAAAATCTCTGATATCACACAACTTGCCACCCCCCTACCCTTGTCACAATATCATAAGCCCCTCCCTAAACTCCTGGCATGACATCGTTTGTGAACAGCTACGGTTACCGATTTCTCGACAGTTTTTTTAAACATATTTTTCTCTTAATTCCTATTAATATTTTTTTATAATTTCCAGGTAATACCTTGTGGCCTATCTTATTTTTAAAAGTTACTGTGTGGCTTATACTGTAATTTCATTTTTTCGCGAGCATTCACCATAGATTTATTTCAAAGATATATTCTGAGAAAATATGCTAAAACAGCAAACAATATCAGATTGTTTGCTTTGAAAATGATATTTTTCTTATTTTTAACTATTATTTTTTTTAAAATATAAGGCAAATTTTTTTATTAACAATGCCATCTACGAATGTAAATAAATTCTGATATGTAATTTGAGAATAATTATATCTGAACAGTATATTTGTTTCGCTATTTGCTTTATCTATATTTTCTTTGTACAGTAGAGCGCGGATTATCCGAACGGCCAATTATCCGAACTATGTCCAAATTCACTATTTTTTAAAGTTTAGAATACTTTTTAACTTATCGACAATTTTTATAAATTTAGAAGAATAAATAATATCCACTACATCATACATCTGAACATACATTTAATTTACAACCTTTTTTTAGCAGTTCACTTATAGTAGCTTACATGTATTACACAGTGAAACTAACATACCCCTTTAGCCCTCTTCAACTAAAAATTATCTTCCAAGAATACAAGCTTCATTTTGACAGTCTACAATGGTTTTAATGTGGAAGGAGTTTATGAATAGATAAGTGCTGAAGTTCTACAATTGGGGAATGGGTAATTGTCACTTATGGTTAATGATTAGTGATTACAGTGCTTGGAATCTTAAATCTTAGAATAAAATTTTTAACAGAAAAACAAATGAAACTGAAGTTTCTGAACCAGTAGATCTTTCGGATGAAAAGATGCCAGGTTATACAGCAGAAGAAATAGAAGACTGGTGTCGAGACACTGAAAACGATCCAGTATTTTCAATTATGATGAAATTGTTGCTGAAATTTTGAATGAAAATCGGAACTCCTCAGATGAAGAAGTAGGTGATCAAGATAGTGGATTTTCTCATAAAGAAGCATGCAATTCATTAGATATTGCATTGAATTGGCTAGAACGTCAAAATTATGCCAGTTCAGTTGATTTATTTAAAAAGAATAAGGGATATAGCTGCTCAAAAAAGAGCATCTTCTTTGAAACTTAAGTCTTTCAGGATTTCTTTTGCAGTGGAAAATAAAGAAAAATGTGGTAAAATCAGTAAATGACAAAAAATTATAAAAAGCTGAAACATGATAAAAATAATTCAAAATGGAGAAAAAGTAAAAAAAATAAATAAAAAATATTTAAAAATTGAAAAAACAACTTTTAAATACACCAGAGCTATTTCAGATAGCACTGCCAGTCCTAAGCTTAGAAAAAGTGTTAAAGGAAGTTAATGTATAAATAATAATCATTTAAACTAGATTTTAAACAACTGTCCAATTATCCGAACTACGTTCGGTCCCGAGCAGTTCGGATAATCGGCACTCTACTGCATATAATTTATTTTCAAATTGTCCTTAAAACAGAAAAAGGCCCGTTCTATTCTATACTGCGATCCAATATCTGCAGTCACTCTTATTTAAATTTATTTATCAATGTTGATAACATTGTCTTTATTTCAAAATAATTTCCTAGTTCTGACAAATATTTATTTTATTTTGTTCTTGAGGACAAACTCTGCATTACTTTTTACTAATCAAGGTGTGTTGTTGAATAATTCACAGTGTCTGTGTTGATAAGTTTTTTTTACTTTGTAAACTTTCTAATGTTCTCTTGTTTTTAAGCTAGCCTTATTTAATGGTCATTAAAGTTATAAAAATTATGTTTAATTCAAATTAGAATATGGTTACTAGAGATTCATACCTAACAATAAAGATTTTGTCCAATAGTAGCATTCTGATTCTGCTCTCAGGTTAAGACCGGGTATCCCCTTGATGTGTGTTTATGCTGGACCCATGAAAGCTGTAGTGCAGCAAATGAAGAAGACATCTACCTCTAAGGCTGAACAAAGGTTTTACGTGCCCTTTTCTCAAAGCACAAAAAGCCTTGTTTTTCATGTATTGTAGAATTTTTTAACACTCTTCAAAATTTTAGTTTTTATTTAGATATAAAAAAAATCTGCAATTTTCCTTCTAAAAAATCAATTAATAAGCATTATATTTTTTGTAAGAAATTTTGTCCTGTGACAATTGGCTCTCTCCCTTCGAGTATGGCCTTGACCACATCACATGTAAATTACATGCATAATTTTTTAAAATTGTCTATAAAATAGAAATATTTGCTTGCTACTTTTTCAGTTCTAGTATTTCTAGGGTTAGCATGTGTACCCGGTTACATGGGGGTAAAACCGGGTTCAATATATAACAGGGGTAAAACCGGGTATATATATAACAGGTTCAATAACTAATATACATTTTTAAAACTTTTTCAGTAATTAAGTCAGATAGGTAAGGCATAAAATATAAATGAATAACTTAAAAACATTAGCGCTGAATGTGGTTTTTGAATTTGTGAAAAAGAAATTGTTTTCCAACTTTTTCTTTTCTCAAACTAATTTTTTCACATCATTTTTAAATTTATTGTTTTTTTGCATTTAAGAATAAAGGAATTTTAGAGTCTTGTGTAAACATTGCGCTTCCTCTTTTAGGTTCTTGTGCAATATTTGAATGGAACATAATTGATATTTAAAATAATGAGGAAAAAAAAACTATCTTCAGTATATAAATTTTATTATAAAAAAATCACAAATATAGTCAGGAACTTTTAAAATACATTCAAACAAAAACTAATATAAAACCATACCATATAACAAAGCTATGTAACGATTTCCTGAAACTTTATTTTGATTTTTCCCATTAACACAAATTAAAATAACTAAATAAGCAAAGGAACAAATGGATCAATTCTTTAGTAAAACATTCAGTCATGCCTTAGCAGTAACAATGAAAATCATGCATTACAAAAAAATATCAAAATCATTTCATCGGTACACATTAATATTTTCTGGCAATAAAATATATAATTAATAAGTTTCTTAGTTTGCAATCAATTTAAAAATGATTAAACTAACTTCAATTTATTAACAGGGCTCAGATGTTGATAATAAATGCATTTTTTGTTCATTTTTTCCTTTATAAGTGTTTTTTTTTTTTGGCTTATTTCTTATTTATTTTGAATATTTTTTTATTTTATGAGCATTAACATTTTTTCTTTAAACTTAATGTAAATTTTGAATTGAATCTTATTTTAAATATCCTCTAATAACAAATTTTAATGTTGAAAATATAATGGATGCTTTCAGGTTCATTGCTTCAATTAAAATCAATGAAGACTATCTAAAAACATTTGATTATATCCAGAAATTACAGCAAAAAAGGATATTTCTTCAGAAAAAATTAATACCAAAGATTATTATATATATAAAGCTTTGTTTTGTTATGAAAGATACCTGAATAATATCCTCTGTATGTGCCTCTCTTTTTTGTGGGAAATAAGGGTGATTTGTGGGGGAGAATTGAATTTCTTCTAGCATGGATGCCACTCTTCAGTCTTTGGAAAAATTCAGTGGACTGAATTCCGTCCCTCAATTAATATCTCTCAGCCTAATTTTTTGGTTACATTTTTCAAAAAACCAATATTTCTAAAAAAAATAAAACAAATATTTTTTTTCCTACTCCTTGCAAAATGATCAAGTAAGTAATAACCTCAAACTGCATTACAAAAAGCAGATTGACTGAACCACAACATCTCTGCTTGTATAAACAAAATTTGTAATTTCTGAATCTGCTTGGGACAGCAGTTTTTTCCTTGGTATTTTGAAATGCTGGTATAAGTTACATTAAGATTATTTATTAAAAAAGAAATTTATAGAGCTAGAACATCAAACATTAATGATGGAGTGAAAATAGAGATATGAATGGTTCCAAGAAAAAGTTATGGTATATTATTCAGTGATTGGTTTTAAAAATAGTACGATGATAGCTGCTTTTGTTTTGTTTGCTATAAAAAATAAACTAAGAAAATGAGGAATAATAATTTTTTTCTAGAAGACTTCAATATAAGTTATTTTGATAGAGAGATACATTTTGAAATCAGACAGTGTAAATTCTAGTAAACAACATTATAATGTTAATTGGTCAAAAAAGAAGTTCAGTCTTAAAAAAATTTTAAAATGACATGCTGAATTGAATGAAACCAATTCTGAGACAATCGGACTAATAGTTTAGAAGTTAAAAGAGATTTTTGTACCAATTTGTGTCAACTAAGTTAAGAAAAAATTTAATTTATATACAAGTTTTTCACCCTACCTGCTCTTTTTGTTCTTGCCCTTATTGTAAAACTATTTAACTTTCAGACTAACCAGTCCTTTGAAAAAAATAATGCCTTTCTCACTCATATTGTATTTTAAGAAAAGAGATTGTCCTTTTATAAGTATGTATTATTTTAATTTGACCAAGGAATTAAAGTTTTGAACTCTGCAATGCAATTACTTTTTCTGTGAAGAACAATAAAATAGAAGCTTGTTAACGGAAATATGAATATACGAGGGTTGTCCATAAAAAAAGGTTCCCAAGGAGCTGTGGACGCTGTTCGGCGGAATTTGGCGAGACTGGCGTGTAGCTTGGCTCCCTTTCTCCCAGTTCCCTTCCGGCGAGCTGTCTACAATGTTCATTCTTGTCTTGGTAGCAGTGAAAGATAGAGCTTCCATTTGTTTTTCATGCCAGGTGCGAATTACGTTCTGTGATTTTTGCACAAAAAACTTTCCTCCAGTGGACATTCATTCCCAACTATGAGAGGTGTACGCAGAAAGGTGTATGAGTATGCGCAAATGGTGCAGAGAATTCAAAGATGGACATTCCATGACGAACAACGTTCTGGCCATCCATCGTTTTAGGACGAAGCAATTGCGAAAGTGGAAGAAGCAATGCTGAAAGATCGAAGGGTGACGGTTGGGGACCTCAGTGAGATGATCCCTGATGTCAGCAAGTCCTGCATTCACAACATTTTGAGTCCGCTTAGGATATGCCAAGGTGTATCCCGAAAATGCTGACGGATGTCAACAAACAGCAAAATGTGGAAGCGGCCCGCAAATTTCTTCATGCCTACAAAACTAATGGCAAGGAATTTTTGGACTCTGCTGTTACTGGGGACGAGACTTCGGTCCACTACATGTCACCGGAAACAAAAGAACAATCCTGACAGTGGAAACATCCAGGCTCGCCGAAGAAGTTTAAGCAAATTCTGTCTGGCGGCAAAGTGGTGGGCGAGTGTCTTTTGGGACAGGAAAGGGTTGTTGTTGTGCGAATTCCTGCCTACCGGCACAACAATTAAGTGTGGATCGCTACTGTCAGACATTGAAGAACCTTCGGCATGCGATTCATAACAAGAGGAGAGGCATGCTCACAAATGGAGTGCATCTCCATCAGAACAACACCCGTGTCACAACTGATCTCATCAACAGATTTAGATGGAATACTGTTACACACCCTCCTTACAGCCCAGACTTGCCCTCTTAGTGATTATCATCTCTTCCCTGAATTAAAGAAACACTTGGGAGGAACGCATTTCACAACAGATGAAGAGCTGAAAGAAGGCTATCTTCGCAGCGGTACACCGCATGCAAAAATGCATTGATTTAAACTGCGATTATGTCGAAAAATAGAGGGAAGTCTAAACTTTCCAAACATGTATTATTCAATGCCAATAAACATGTTTTTCATTGTGAAATTTGTTGGGAACTTTATTTTATGGACCAGCCTCGTAGATTGGATTTGATAAAATAAAGACTGAAAATTACCATTCCGTTTTAGCATCTTTATATATCAGTCATAAGGCAATCATTAAAAATACTTGTTCAAAATAACATATTTTTAAAAGTATTATAATATTTTAATATTATTTAAAATTAACACTATATTTGTCATAATATTCATTTAAGAAATTTATAATTTTTTGTTCAATTAATATTTGCTAAATAATTTTCAAAAGATTAAAGGTTTCTTTTAATTTATATATTGGTTAATTTTTCTTTCTAAATGTTTCAATTTATTACTATTTTAAAACAAAAAAATATATACTTTTATTAATATTTAGTAGAATTAAAGAGTAATTAAAGCCTTTTATAAACTTTTGTATGCAACTCAAAAGCTAAGCAAATGCTTTCCAAAAACAGAAAATGCCCATTTAGGTACAAGTACCCAACCCAGTCCATTTTGTTTTCCAGGAGATATCTTTATTAAAACCTTATTCTCAATGCCTTGGCTAAAGAGGCAGAATAGGCTTAATACAAAATAGTACAAAAAATACAAAATACAAATACAATTCTTAGCGTTTATATTAGGGTTATTGAGAAGTTTTCCTTTACTCATGGTTGAAATGGTATATTCAAGGTATACCCTCTCCTAAAGGATATATCCAAAGTATACCGGAAAGTTACTAAGGGTAAAGATATTGAACTCTTATTTCTTTTAAATAAAATATATAAAAAATGTATTTTAAAAGCTCATTTGCTTATAATAATAAAAGCTAATTAAAGTACAAATAATTATTTCATTAAATCTTTACCTTGACAGTAGTTAAAGGAATCATATAATTTAAAACAAATAATTTGGGAACTTTTCAATAGTTAGGCACTCTTCTAGCATTCTGAGATAGCACAGTATTCTTAGGTTAGCATTGAATTTTTTGATAAATATTCTTCAATTCTTTTAATTCAAACAAATGAATCTAAGTAGTATTAGTTGAATCTGAGTTGAATTACATGTTTTATTTTGATCTTTTTGAAATTTCAATCAGTAACAAACTTTGTGTATCATTGGTTTAGTTTTAAATGTCAAGTTTCTAGAATATTTATATTAATAATTATTGAAATTACTACAATGCTACTAAAGGCTGACTGTGTGCAGTGCTGATCACACTGCGATAATCATGCAGTTGGTCACAAAAATGTGGAGCCTTGCCCTCCTGGCTCACTACAGGATGTTGTGGAATGCTTAACTTTACTTAATATTATCTTGTTATCAACAAAGCAGATAGACTTACAAAACTGAAATGCTGTGTGCATCTCTGATATGTAAATAGTTGAAATATGAAAATATGTTTCGCTATAAATATCTTAAAAACATCTTAAATGTGCAACTCTATGTACAGTTAGCCCAAGCTACTTTAAGCCTCTGATGTACCACTCACGTCACGTTAAAACAAGCAAAGTGTGAACAGTTTAATAATAATTCTTTTATCAATATTTTAAATATTTCTTTCAGACTGAAAATTAAGCAAAAATAAAAAATCTTCTTCGATCATAGAAGTTCTTCTTATTAAAATTATGATTTCAGTTTACACTCAATATTATCATTCATAAGATTTTTCCAAGCTTTACATATTGTATAAGAGAGCAAAATTTGAATTGAGTTAAAAACAATCCCTACTTAAATAATGAGTCATTACTGTTTGAGAATTGTTACCGACTTATTTGCTTGAACATAGAAATAATTCTTTTTGAAATTATATTATTTTTTATTCGAATTCAATTTAATTATTGAGAAAGTCAGAAACCTTAAAGATCAATAAACAAAATAAAATTAACAAATGTATTCTTATTAAAACAGAAAAACAATAATCAGGGATATTTCCGTATCGTGACCAGTTGCGCCAACTACAATAGCCAAGGTGCCAAATAGATTTTAAACTTGCAAATTTAAAAAAAAACAAAACATGTAGATGTTTGCTAGGGGGTGGTTACGTTACGAGTTATACCTTTCGTGTTGGTCCTTTCTATGAAGTTTTTTTTAGTTTCTCACGGGCACTGCCCGGAAGTTGCCAAGACTTAACAATCATTCTGTCACATATCACAATACGGAACTCTCCCCCAATAATCAATAAAAGGAGACCCACACAAAAATTTAATACAACTCTTATAAATAAGTGTCATGGTGTAAAATTTAGGCTCACATTATTCCTTACTTTACTGCCACTGATAATATAGATATTTAGCATTATACTGTTAATAATTTATATTCATGGTTAATAAGAAAACTTTGTAGTGCTTCTTCAACTCTATAAGTTGAAGTTGAATTAAATACTTAAGGTTCCAAACATTCTCATTTAATTTATACAAAATTATGTACAATTTATAAAATTTATACCAATCAACGTATACCTTTATTGATTAACTTTCATTAAGTTTATTGAAAAAATCTGTAATTTTTCTCTGCTTTAATCTTTCAGATAAATCGCCTACAATAAATTTATTTATATTCTGCAAGGAATCCCAAATATTTTTAGGAATATCAGTTTGTTGCTTGAAAAAACAAGTCAAGTTTTGAGCAAGAGAAACTGCTTCAGAAAGTTTTATGGGTGACAATGAGGTTTCACAAAACTTGTGTGATAAACTAACTTCATCTGTACTATCACAATAACTCATGAATTCATGACCATTGCTGGCTGATTCACAATTCACAAGTTCATTATTATTATTATTAGATGATTCACCAGATTGTCCTTCTCCACATATCTGATCGTACAGAGGTGTTTCAATATCTTCATTTTTTAATTGTGGTAAATCTACATCAGCAACTATGTATTCCGATTCCTGTTTACTACAATTAGAACTTTTGTTATGCGCAATACACGAAACTATTTCTTCGTCTGTCATTCCAATATGTGACATATCGTATGCACTATTTTCAGGACCCCTCATAGCTTCCACAGACATATCATGTCGATCCCTAAAACGTGAAAGCCAACCGCTGCTTCCTTCGAAATTTTTGTGACCTAATAACTGCCCGAATTCACGAGCTTTCTGTTGAATTAAAGGTCCATTTACCGGCGTATTTTTTGCTCTCATTTGCTTAAACCACATGTACACAGCTTCATCGATATCTGTGTATAAACTAAGACGCAATCTTTTACGATTACCGTTTAACTTATAATGTTCGTGAGACATCCTTATTTTAGATCGTTCTTTTACGATTCCGCTGGCTGTAGAGTTTGAAATACCAAACTCACGAGCTACGGCTGTTAGCCTCTTTCCAGTATCAATTCGTTCTAAAAACGTTAATTTTTCACTAAGTGTCAGTTGTTTTCGTTTTCTGATTACCTCACCCATTAGAGCACTCGCTAAAAATTATATTTTAACTTGATGTTTAAAGTTCAATAGAATATTCTTTGGAGCAGATGTTTTTCAAACAGCTAAGACAATTGTTATATTCAGAATTTATTGCATTGATTGAAAAAATTAGATAAAATACAATTTTTTTTCACCAATTAATAGAGCTTTATGATCACTACAGCAGTTTCTTGTTTGTTTGTTGATGAATAAACAGAACCAGTTACAGTGATGCTAAAATTCACTGGCTTTTTCGATTAATTTTTCAATTAATTACCTCATATAATCTACAAAACATAACAGTAGTGTTGTAGAAACGTTTTTAATTAAAATTGAATGATCAAAATATCTTTTTTCTTTCCTTTTCGATAACATTAAGTTTCTGGAGAGCATTTTTACTGCCTTTAATTTACGCATTGAAATTCGCGCATATGTGACTAGCGCATGCGCAAGCAGTTCTTTTTATGTGTAGTTTTTAAACATCAGCTCACGCTGAAATGGAAGTTTAAGCAGTGAGAACGACCTTTTTTAAATGAAACTTATATGAGAAATATGAAATCTGGCAACTGCTTTTAGATGCGATCGATTTTCATTCGCTGATTTAACTCATTTATGTTAAGAGTACTTGTGGTAAGAAGAAGCAGTTGTTGCTGTGCAGAGTGACTTTTCTTGAGGTGTAATCTTTCGTTGGGTCACATACGTTTTTTAGCATTGTTTTTGCATATTTTACTATAAGTATAAAATAATTGCATCATCTATTATATTCTATAGTAAAATTGGAATTTGAAAATATTTTATTGAGGGTCTTTTAGTGATATTTTATGATTTACATCAAGCGTCATATCAAAATGAATGGTGACATATTTCAAAGTAAGTAATTTGTTTTTACTATTCCTTTGAAACTTAATTTTTAGAAACTATTGGTAATAGAATAAAGCTGGTTAATTGATTTTAGGATATTAATTTAAGGTTTGTAAAATATTCCGATTCATTTTAGTTTTATTCTAATTTGACAATCAGTTTTGTGAAATCAATGTTTTAATTAATTTCTTTAAAAATGATGTATCGAAAACAGTTGTTCTATCTCCCCCTTAAAAGTTATAATAGCCTATTTTTACCAACGATCTTTCTATGTCAATAAATGCCTCGGAGGATAGTTGGATTGTTTTCTTTCCTCCATATTACGTGATGAAAAGCTGCCATTTTGGCCAAGCTTCTTTTTCGCTTGTATTTACGCGTATTTTGTTTTAAAACTGCTAAAGCTTTTTATTTTTCCATGTTCTTTCAGTTATATAGTACGACGCTTCTTTTAAATGTAATTTAATGAAAAATTCTTATTCGTTATAGGTTAGCGTTGTAGCTTTCATTCGTTTTCGTATCATTTGAAAGTTGTTTATGAAGATGCTAAACGGGAGTTTATTATTTCTTGTTACCTGTGCATCTTCTATTTCACATTGCAGTTTTGTGAAAAAAGCTCTGTCGTCTAATATTATAAAAATAACATACCTAAGAAAAGTAGAACATCTGACACTCTGATTATCTAGCATATAAAATGAAGAACAGAACAAACATCAACAGATCGTGTTGGTTGATAAGATACAATTGAACATCTTCGCTTTAGCATAATATATTTATCCTCTTAACTTTTGTAAAGCTTTAATTTCTTGAGCTTTTGTAGATTTAAATTAAACTTAATAAATTGCGTGATAGGAGTTTAATCCTTAAATTATTTTATCACTTATCAAAATTTTAAAATAACTATTGTATATGTTAGTAATTTAGCTGTATTATTGCATCTCATTTTTAACTCTTGCTGTATTCTTACATAGGTATATAACTTACTTGATCTTTCATATTTTGTTATCTTTCAAAACTAATATCGATGCTTAGAAATTATAAAGAATAAATATTTTTCTTTTCTACACTAACATTTTAATATTGTTTTTGTTGATTTATTATAAAGCATGTTTCTTTTTCCTGCTACTTCTTGTTTAAGCTATAAGAGTCCTCCCTTAATTAGTTTACTTCTTTATATTTTCTTCCTAAATATTTAGGTGTCTTCCTAATTAAGCTTCTAAGTGCAAAACTATAAAAGTTACATCTGTTTTTAGCTATCTCATATTTATCTTTTAAACACACCCTCCTTGTAATAGTTTTAGAAATTTTCTTGCATTTAAAAATACTTGTGAAAACTTCTTTATTACATATTTTGGAAATGGTTAGGTCAGGTAAATAATTATGAAAAACAATTTTTTTTGCAGCTTAATATTATCTGAATATTTATTATAAGCTGTCATCTCCATGTATGTTCTAATATGATTTAATAAATGATAGCTTCCTTTTTGAAGCTTAAATTAGTATTAAACTAAACAAACTTTTTGTTGCATATATGAATTTTAATATGATCTGTCTTGATTAACTGTAAGAGATTTATCTGTTTTTTTGCTGCCTCTTATTTTTGAATAAAAAAATACATCTAATTGTTACTTAATAGTAGTGTAAAACGTAGAATATTTTAGAACTGCTTCTTACAAGTATATCTTTTACGTGTACATGGAATTTATACATTTGTCATGAAGGCCGATTTAAATAGTATGTAATGTTGTAAAGTATATTTAAGCTTAGAATCATGAACCATGTGTTGCTACGAAGATCATATGGACAACTATTTATTTTTTTCGTTCCAGATTTATTTTAGTTTCATGGGTGTAAAATATGTCATGCATGTCTTTTCTTAGAATGAAGTTTCAAATTCTTGCTCTAATTTTACCTAATGTGTCGATTAGAAAAGGGCAATAGAAAAAAATAGTGTGCCGCAATGAATAGTTTGAAAATAACCTTTTATTTCTTTTTATTAAAATAAGTCTTCCTTCAAAATGTTTATTTCAGACTTTATTTTATCTTATTTCATTTGATAAAAAGATAAAAAATATATATTTTTCACCCAGTTCACTTCATTATTTTATGCATTCATTATTTTAAGATGTTATTATCCAGCACAGTATTAGCAAGACATTCTGTGGTACTACAGTTGTTTGTAACTGTCTTGAACTATAATGAACTGTGCTTTTTTTTAAAAGTAATGGCTAACAGAAAATTGCCGCATAGGTTAATGTCACGTCTTTTACTCATTTTCCACGCAGCCTCTTTTTGTATCGGTTTACAAATTATTGGTTAATATGATTCTGAATAGGGATCAATGTAAATTTGTATTATTTTGTATTAATTCTTTAAATATTGAAATCTGTATTGATATTGTATTTTTATCCATTGAATATGTATTTTAGAAGGGGTTTTTTTTCCACCTTTTCCTTACTTTTAATATTTTTCAATTTTATCTGAAATATTGGTATTTCAATGTGCTATTTATTTAAGAGAACTAACTTAAGATTCCCTTTATGCTTATAGCTTGTTTAAATAATTGCTACATACAATATAGTGAAATAAATTTTAATAATTCATTAAGGCTATGAATATTTGATTTCATAATCATAAGAAAGAAAAAGTTGTTTTGTCTTAACTAAACTTGGTGTAAGAATTTAGTGTTTAGATGTTGATTTAATGATAAATGTAAACTAACTCTTTGGAAAACTAAAAGTTCGATTAGTTAAATAGATACGTTATAATTTGCATCACATTATCTTGTGATTATATGGGAGATTTTGAAAAGTTACCTCTTTTCAATTTCCCAAATGGAAACCTGAATATATTACTTAGTCAGTTTTTAACAGTAATATTTTATTTAAATCTTGATTTTGTGCAATTAATCCATTTTTTAATTTAAAAATATTCTGCTTTAAAATATTTCACTTAGGTAATTATGTTCTTGAATATTAAGTTTATAATTTATTTTCTTTGAAATATTTTCTTTAATTTGCTTTTTATTTACTTGTATAATTTTATCTTTTCAGATCATGATTCAACTAAGTGGATTAACAGTGCTGTAAGTAAAAAAATGAGATTAATATATATATAATATTTAATTTCTACTTTTTCATTTAATATATCCTAGTGGACTAATTTTTTTTTTAGTATGATAATAATGTTAAATAAACATGTACTGCTATTTATCTTGCCAGAATTGAGAATTTACCTTATAATGAAAAAGTTAAAATTTAGAAGGTTATACTTATTCAAAATTAAAAATCACTTATTGATTTCAGATTGTTTAATGTTATGTGATATTTACGAAAACTTTTTTTGTGTTAAAATTTTTTATACAAATATTATTTGTACCTCAATGATGCAGTTCTAGATATAATTTTGCAATTCTTGATATCATGTTAGTTAAATTTTCGATTGGCAAGAGGGGTTCTCTCAGAAAAAAAGATGTTTTTATCACACTTTTAGTTGAACTCAGTTTTTTTCTTCTTAAAATTATAAAAGTTCCGTCATGGGGAAAATGGATATTTTATTTTTGGTTAGTTTGAGCTATTGCTAAAAAGTTGTGTTTTAAATTTAATTATTACATTTCTAGTGATTCAGTCTAACTTCAAATTAAACATATAGTGCTAAATAAGCTTAAATGAAAGTTTTGATTGTCCATCAAATAAGGGCTATTGGTGATATTTATTTGAAAAACTGAATATTTAATTTTATCATCTCTAATTTGTTGCATTCAGAAAGTTTAGTTGCAGTAGGCTTGTATCAAATAATTTTTTTAATCTTTCGTGTGTTTTATTTGTAGGAGGATACTTGCAAAAATCAACAGACCAACCAATTTCTGATGTTCTGTGATGTGATTTTAAAATATGAAAAGTATAAATTACCAGCTGATGTAAGTTTTTGCTCTCTTTAAAATAATAAGAAAAGCTATTAACTTTTTTTTTAAAAAAAATCAGACTATAAAAGAAAAGAAAGAAAAAAAGGCCATTTAATTTTATCATTCTTGACTTTCCAAGATAACAGTTGATTTGTCCCTTATCCTAGCAAAAGTTTTCTTTTTAAAAATATACTCTTAAAAAAATTATTACTAGAGTTAAGAATTAGTGAAACCTTGGTTAATGTATCTTGGGTCTGAAAAATTGCCCATTTACACAAGTTGTCCTTTTATGAGAAAAGTACATGAATAAGAAAGGCTAAAGACATGAATTGCTTTTAGAATAAATATGATAAAGAAATAATTAAATAATCAATGATAACTTTTTACTTTGATTACTATTTGCCTACCATGATAACTATTACACTGATAACTTAAACTTAGCAGACCTATAATATTTACATTATAAACAGTAAAGCTGAAGAAATCGAACATAATAGTGCTGTTTTATGTTTGTCGAATTGAATGATAGGAATTTCAAGTGTCTGCGAATTTTCATACTTTTCATGGCTATTTATGCCGACTTATACTGAAGTTAATTATGCAGCACCAATATTTATATAAAATTGGTTATTTGATACTGAATAGATGCTCTAAGTGCTTCTAAAAATCTATCTCCGGTTTTATCACTCTTAATCTATGAGAGCTACAAGCACATCTAAGCATAGAGCTCTGGAACGGACCATCAGATTACTATTAGATTTACATCCCTTAACTGCCCCCTTTGTTTAATTGGGAACATTTTAATATCTCCTTAGGTAAATGTCATGTGATACATATAAAAAAGTAAGCATGGCAGTACCTACTTGTAGGTGCTAGGCCCTATATTATTAGATTTATGTTTCCATTATTTATTTATTTTACACCCATCAGGGATCAATTTCATTCCAAGAAATATTTCCAATTCCAAATAGAAATCCAATTCCATTCCTCCTTAAGCTCATGAAAAAAAGTTAAGTTCTTAAAAAAAAATCTTGTAGTTATTGTAATGAGCCTTTGCAGTGTATTCATTACAGATAAAAAAAAAAATGGGAGAGAATTTCTCACCTTTTCTCAAATACAGGGTGAGATTTCTAAAGATTAAAACAACACTAATAGACTTGGAAAAAAATTATTTCTTTAATTATAATACATTTTTCACATCTTCTAATTGAATATTTTTGCTGCATCATGTGGAAAATGTTCTATTTCTACTTTTTCATCAGCTATTATATTTATTTGGCTGAAAAATATCCGTATTTGTTTTGTTTTGACGATTTCTACCGACATTTGTTTCATTTTTCATTTATCTGTTACGGGGTAGAAGATGTCGCCTTAGCAAGGTATTTGCCTATCTTACATTCATGCACAAAAAATGTAAATGGCTTGCATGAAGAAACCTTACCTACGATGAACACGTGGTTGCAGAGAAAGGTATTCCGTGGTTCGGGGGGTGTTCTGCTGTTCGCACCTGTTCTGAACAATACTGATAAATAGGGAAGCTAGATAACAAGAACCAATGTTCAAAATAATAAAAGATCAAAGAAGTAAAGTGAAACGGATTTTATTCAAAATGGCAAAAGACTAAATTTTTTCTAAAGTTCATGCATTTTGAAATTGATTAATAGAGTGCACGAACTTCTCACATTAATAATTTTTTATTGCGAGAAAAAAAAATGTTAGGTTCTCGCGCTGTAGTGAAAACCATGCTTTGTTAATAATAACATGGTTTTTTTTTTCTTTCTTTCTTTCATGTCTGATAAAAATAGAAATGTTGTTGTTTGTGATTATTAAACTGTTTAAATTTGATATTCATATATGCATCCAAACTTATGCATTTTATTTTTTCCTACAATTTACTCATCTGTTTTGATTTGCAAATCTTTTATAATTATGTGCACCAATTATTGATACGTTACATGAGATAGGCATTGACTGTTGCTCCTGTTTTTGCATTCTGTTAATTGTTTCTTTACATTAAACAGCATTTCCATGGAGCCCTGACTGCCTCAGAGCTTTTCATGGTTGGCCCTCAAAGGATATGGTGTGTACACGTTCTGTAATTTGGTGATTCAAATACTTAATTCAAACAGTGTAAAAATACTCTAATGTGTGTTCTTACTGTCAAATGTTAAAATAGTAGTGCTTTAAAATGTTGTTGGTGAAAAGTAAGTAGTTTTGATTCTTTGGTGCATTTTTAGCAAATAGTTGGTTACATCTTTACAATGAATGACGCAGCTCTTTATCTATTTTTAATTTTAAGAAACAATATATTAGTGATATCTAAATGAATATTAATAAGTGGATGAAGGTTTTTAATGGTTTGAAAAGAAACCACTAATGAAAAATATATTAGCAGTGTCTAATGAATATTGAAATATTTCGATAGGTCAATTGTGCTGTGTGGATGAAAGTTCTGAAGGAAATCACTAATGAAAAATATATTGGCGGCCTAAATTAATATCAAAATGTTTCAATAACGAGAGTGAAGAAAGATTCTTATCCTTAGCTGCATTTTTTTTTTCTTTTGGGGGGGGGGTCAGTTTTCAGGAAAAATTTCGATTTAGTGCTATTTAACTATGCTATGTTGATTTATTTGGCAAGTCATTAAATTTTGGATATTTCAGTGGATGAAGGTTAGAAATACATTTCTGTTTATAAACTTTGGAAAACCTCTCTTTTAACAGCATGCTAAAATGCCAAGAGTGCTGTAATAATACCAGTTTAAATTTGATTTATTGATTTCAACTATTGGAAGCTTTGAGATCAAGAAATATGGGTGAAATATAACTTCATACACAAAAAGAGCTATGTATGAACTTATAACCTTCATCCACTTAAAACTTTTATAGACTTTTCAGCTCTTCGATTACAAAATTATAATATAAAGTAATGCTGATTTGCAGAAGGTATTTGATTAAGATATAAAATGTAATTACTCTGAAATAAAAATGAATTTCAAGGCATTGATATGTTTTTTTATTTCTGATATTTTTTATTATTAGGAAACTACTGATGTAAAAAATTTATTCAGATTTTTTTTTATATTATTAAATTGGCTTACAGGTGTTACATTTTATGTTTCATTTGCTATAAAAGAAATTATTAAAAAAGTGGTCATTGCTGATTAAACATTTTTTTTAATTAACCTGTAAAACAAAATTGATAAGGAAGCATAAAATTTATTTATTAAACGAAGTACATAAATGTTATATTAATTCACTCATTATTGGTTGAAAAATTATAAAGAATTATGATTAAACTGTAAGGAATTATTCTTCATTCTTACCAATCTAAGGTGCTCACTATTGTATCTAAGGCAGTGATCATCTTATAATTTTATAGTTCGATTTTTTTTTTTTATTTATGTATTTTGATATTTATAGTTCTTCTCTTAGTTTATCATCTAAATATTGTTCGATTTTATTGTTCATATTTTTTCCCTTCCCAATTTTATTAAATTTAGATGGTAGTGCTTTATGGGTACATTGAACTATTTTTTTTTCGATCCTTTATAAAGAGCTGTTTATTGTATATATTTCTGTTTTTGAAGTTAATTTTCAGACTAACTTTGGAATCAGCATTTAGACGATTGCTGCTTCCATCCTACCATCACGTAATACTTGCACAAGTTAGTACAATTAAATATTTGGTGTCATAATCTATTTTAATAATAATTTTCAACTTGTACTTACATCATGTAATTGTCTTAAGTTAAGACAAAGATGTTTATATACAGTGTGTAGATAACTGATTCGTCTTCTTTTTTGTTTTTTCATTTTTACTAGAAGTATTTAATTTTTACTGATTATTTGTTTCTATTATATTTCTATATTTTACGATAATTATTCTATTGGTTAGATATTTTTTTTATATAGATTGCAATGGTAAAGCCAAAATCCTAACCTATGTATCTACATTTTTTTTTAAAAAACTAAAAAGGTCAAGTTATTTAGCTAAATAGGGTTATTCTATATATAATCTAATTGAAAAGGTTTTTATTATATATTATTATTATTTTAAGGTAAATTTTAAAGTGATCATCCACGCCCTAGTTTTTCATACTATCGAGTCTATAAATATTTTCAAATTTGATCTTTTTTTCCAAGTATTGTTAAATAAAATTTAGCTTAGAAGTCCCTCTTTTTTGTCTTCGTTTCATTATTTAATTTAATAAAATTACTATTATTTATATATACAGAAGTTTTTATTCTAATTTTGTTCAAAAATTCTGGAAATTTGTCCCTAAGGATTTGTAAATCTTAGATCTGTTTTCTTAATTTTAAAAATTGGTTGATCGCATTTTAGGAATGATCTAGAAAACCCTTTTGGGGATGCTTGGGTATTTTGAAGATTACTTTTCTCCTATTTCTTGTTTATTGCTTCATTTCTATTTCCTTTTATATTTGAGCTTTGATTTTGTTACTTTAAAAACGTCTATCGAGTTTAGCGCTGCATAGCTTAATCCGGCTTTTGTGCCTTTACACTATTTTTCATTCTCGAAATGTTTAATTAGAATTGGTTATTAACAGTTTGACATATATAAGCGACATAAACATTTTCTTGTGGGCTATATTCTTTTATATATGATTAAAACTTATAATTCTTTTGAGAAAATGAAAAGATTTGAATTGTGAGAGATCAAAGTACATGCTGCATTTAAAAAAGAAAATTGATTTTCAAAAGCAATATTTCCTGTGTATTTTTTTACATTTATAATTTGAATGCTTTTATTTTGTGACTTGTTTAGTTTTAAAAAGAAAAAAGGTTTGATTTAGTAAACATTTTATTCCAAAATTGTTGAAGAACATGCTTCTAGTATTTAAAATGGGTTAATAATGTATCTTGCTACTGTTTCAGGAGATGAATGACAGTGCCTATTCTCCTAGTGGTTCAGATGGGACTAATGATAGTTTCTCAAATGAAAGCAACAGCAGTTTTAATAGTGGCAATCTATCTAGTGATGACATGAAAAGTGAAACAGTTGGACATGGTGAGTATATTTCATAATCTTTTTAGTATAGATGTTCCGGATACCCGGATTTCATTTCTCTGTTTCTACACCGACCTGCCAAAAAAAAATTTTTACTTCTTGCCCGAACTAGGTTTTTATTCTTGTGGCATGATTTCAAGTATTTGCTCGATTTATGTGCGACTTAACTGCATTAAGAATCATTGTAAACTATTGATTCTTTTTTTCCAAGTAGTTTTGGAAATTCGGGCATTCCGTCCATTTGGGAATAATCGAGGCTGAAAGAATTCTATAGATGAGACTTCTTACTTGATCTAGGAGTTACTTTATATTTTGAGGTTTCAGATATAATCATAACATTAAGAACTCTAAAACTGTTATATGAATTTTCTGTTCAACATAATCAAAGTAGTAAGAATCGCAAAACTGAAGAGATAGTACAAATATAGATAAATCTCACTGCACACAAATCGTGTTTATTGTTATCGGGTGATTAAAAATTGAACCCTTATAGCTAGTAGTTAAATATTTTTAACATATCCTATGTTTAATCAAAGTTACTCTAATAAATGCTGGCAAAAATGTTAGTAAGTTAATTATAAAAACAGGTGTTTTTATAAAGGTGCACAATAAATTTCCTAAAAATAAACCTTCTAAGATATTTGTTTGTTAGAAAATCATACAATTTTTTTATTATAATGCATAAATGTTATAGTTTCTGCAGTCTCCAATTTACAGTCCCCATATCAGTTAGATTTTCCTGTTAATTGTAATGAGGCTTAATTATAATACAATCTTCTGTTTCTTCTAACTTGTAAATTTACTCACTATTAAATCGAAAAATGTATTGTCAATAAGGTGGTTTTGAATTTAAAACTTACTAAACTATGCAAAACTTAGTGTCAAGAGAGATAAAAGTTACATTAAAACACATATCAGACTGGTTAAATTACTGTTATTGTGTTAATTTGCTATATTCAGGGTTGCCACAGGTGACTAAAATTCAACTATTTTTGCCAACTAATTCAACTATTATTACGCAACTATTTTCAGGAAAAGGAGACTATTGTGACACTTTTCTGAGCTCCTAGGGGAAAAAATTTTTTTTTAAGTATAAATTGGGTGGAAAATCTGCACCCCACTAGATAATTTCTGAACACACTAAACTTTTTTTACTTAAAAAAATAGAAAATGTTGAAATTTTTGAATTGCAAATTTGAGTCTCCACTTTTTAATTTGTTCAATCTGTACAGACTCCATTGTAAGTTTATTTCATTTCTCGATTGCCCTTTCAATGATTATTGCTACAAAATTCTGCATGATTTAAAAATTTAAAAAAAATTTATAAGATGCTTGAATTTCGAAATTGATTAATCACTTTTCATATATATATATATAAATTAAGCTCAGTGGCGCGACAGCTCATAGAGGGTCAAGGCCTACTGTGCCCATCTCAGTTTTCTTGGGCTCTGGGGTGCCGGAGCAGATGGTCAGCCGAATGCGGAACCCCCAGTGTTTTGTTCCCAAGTATGCTTGGTACTCATTTATCAACCCACTAAAGGGATGAAGGGCTGAGTCAACCTTGTCTATATATATTTGCCGCCAACTTGACTTAATGGATCATGGTATATGTCAATTAAGTCATTAAGAAACTTTTAGTCATATTTAGGCAACTATTTCCCTAGTTTTTGGCTACTATTTTCATGTTTTAGGCTACTAAAAGCAACTATTTTGCAACCCTGTATATTGCATGAAATTTTATTCTGCGATTTTGACACATTTTCTCAATTTTGTTTTCTCTTTTCAGAGGATGATTCGTGGGACCTTATCACTTGCCCTTGTATGAAGCCTTTTGCTGGTCGTCCAATGATTGAATGTTCCATTTGTCAAAATTGGCTTCACATGTCTTGTGCCAAAGTTAGAAAAAACAACATACCTGACGACTTCATCTGTTCACTATGCAGAGAAACCAAAAGCAACAAACGGCGATCTGAAAGAATAAAGAGTGACGACAGGGGTTTTGCAATCTTGCGCTGAAGATTTGTGTTTTCTGTAAATAAACATTTTAGTCAGTTTATTTCACTTTATTTTCAAAGCTGCCATTAAAATTTTATACAAAGTTTATTTGTATAAAAACATTTGTACTTATAATTTGGAGAGTGACATGTACATTCACTTGTACTAAAATATAAAAGTGTAGATATGCATATAAATGTATAGAAGTGTATGTCACCTTCATTGTTTTAAAATGTATGTTTATTATGTGATTGGTTAAGTTACTTGAAATATGTTATGTTTTTAAAGTCTTTCTTAACTGATTATTTGGTAGCAAATAAATTTTAATAGATTTGTTTCTCGAGATTTGAGGCTGTCATATTTCTTTTATTTTAAGGTTGTGAAAAAAAATAAATCTGGTTTAATCTTGCTGGTCATGACCTTGTATTGATAATTAACTGGATTTGTTTATGATGAAACTTTCACCAGTGAAGTATGAGTAAATGTTTACTCAAAGGTTGCTTAAGTTTTTAATAGTGGTTATTTAGTATGATTTTACTTGTTTCAATTCTAATTATTAGTTTGTCAAAGAGAATTTATCTACAATACACAATATTGTGTGTTCAGTCATAACAAAGTTTTGAAATGTTTAACCTTTAGCTTATGTATGGTACAATGAGTGAACCAGAATAAGATTTCGACATGCAGAAGGTTAATTCTGAAAATTTAAATTTTTCTCAATATGAACTCAGTAATAATAATATTTGTAAGATAGCTAATTTAATTTTAAAATTTATTTGTTTTTAAAATTGTAAAATTTTTAAACTACTTAAAGTATTGGGTAGTTTTAATTCACATTTTCTAATTGAGTCTGCGTGACAGCCTCTGTTAGTTTATGTTGATTTTCATAAACTTTAAAAACAATAAATTCTTTTTTATATAACTCTCCCGGTTCATATAAATATGTATAAAATAAGTGATTTTCAAAAATTTTATTTCACCTGTTTAGTTTTGCAAATATATTTGTTTATATTGTACATATGTATATTGGATATCTGGAAAGTTTAACTATCAAAGTTACTTGCTGCCATTTTAAATGTGGATATATCAGCTACTTTTCAAATTTTAGGGTGCTAATTATGTCAAAAGTGTAACAATAAAAAAAGAAATTACATTGCTTTGATAACATTTCTTATATGCGTTGTTGATGCTATTTCCTAAAACTAAATTTTCAAGCCTTCATTTTGTACCTATTGATAAAATTTTGTTCAAAGATGTTTTTAGCTTTATCTTTGGTTGAGTTAAAAATCTACAGCAATAACTATAATTTTGTTCTTTGAAAGACTTGTTCAATTTTGTTTTAAATTTTGAAGAGAACTTTTCATTTCATGATATTGTGAATATTTTTGAAAGCGAAATAAATCAATTTGGAAATAAAATGTCATTATTTATCTTAATACTCATTGTTGCATTTTTAGATTTCATCAAATTAGTGTTAAAAACATCACCCAAATTTATCTTTCCAATATTGTTTAAATTAATTCAAACAATGATCCTTAAGACCCTCTTATCACTTTCCATATGGACTTATTCCACTTTCAGAAATAATGCACTGTTGCCCATTTTAATAATGGTTAATTAAGGTACATGATCTTTAATTATAACAATCTGGCCTAACTGTGATTTATTGATTTTAACTCGAACTTAACATGTGAGGACAGATCTTGCAAAGAAGCTGCAGTCAAATGTATGTTTTTTCAATGCAACATTATTTTATGTATGTCTTTCACGAAGTGTTGATTACTGCCCATATTTTCTGCAAGCATTATGTAACTTTTTATTCACAAAGGCTTATCACTGGGTGCATATGTATTTAGATTTTGCATAACAAAATTTAGCTTTGAGATGTTAAATACGATTTCCATAGAATTCCAATCCTATTGTTATCAAAATTGAATACAAAAATTATAAAGTATGTGATTGTTATATCTATATGATCTATTGTACTTGGAAAATGTTAACAATGTTGATGATGAAAATGTTAATTTTAACAGAAAAAATTAATTGGAATACTATGTGCATTTGATGTTGATCCTTACTTGTTTATGTGTGTGAAGACATAAAAACCACCATAAATGTTTATTCTGGCTGAGTGTTAATCCAAAGATCCAGTTTGACTGATAATATTCAGTATGCCTTTAACCAATTTAGCAAGGAGTTTTATTTTAGAAGACTAGTGCAGGGAATTAAAATTGAGCAATGACTTGCGTGCATTTCGAACTCGGGACTAGAAGCCCTCTTATAAATATTAAGAAAAATCTGGTAAAGATTGCATTATTTATTTTAAAAAATTTTTTGGTTCATCTCTAAAGAGATTTCCATAAAAATATTCTCAAAAATATATTTGTGAAAATTATTTCCAAAAAATAGGATGCAATACTGGTCGAAAGCGGGGACTTTTTGGAACGAAGAGCCAGTATTGGACCAGCTTGTTTATGCAGTTTCTCTGCAAATAAACGCACATTATCCAGCTAACATATGTGACTGGTTTCGGACTGTGAGGTCTCCCACCCCCTGCAATGTAGCTGTTCTGTCAATAAAAGGAAGCATACATCCAAATAATATTCTTTTTGTAATTAGGTGCAATAGCGATTTTGTTCAACATGTATACACCTGATCTCAGACTCATTAAATTGGTTAAGGGTCCTCTTCAGGAAAAGGAGATTCTGTTTCCTTGTTAATTTATAAAAAGTTGTACAAGTGCACTATCCTTATTTATCAAGTAACTAATGTTTTTAAATGTTTCTTTTTATGCTTTATTTATCGATTTCCTTAATTATTTCTGATCAGATTTTAAAGTTGAGAATCTTTTTTTTTTTTCCTTCTCTGTTATTAATAGCTTTAAATGTTTGGATTTTGGACATAGACTCTTCATAAAGAAATTTTATGAAAAGTTTTTTAACCTTAAAATTTGAAAACCAGATTCAATCTACCACATTTTTGGGTAAAAATAAATTAATTTTAATTAGTTACTTAATAAATAGTGATTATTTGTTAACATCTATTAACCTGGAAGTAGAAGCCCCTTCCTGCTTAAAAGGATTGAACTAAAAGGAAAATATGGATTTGCATACATAATATCAATATTCTATTTCTAATTTTAACTTTTTGTTCAAAATGGTATTGTTTTTACAAAGAGAATGTATTTGATTTTTAAGGATTGACATTGTTATTGCTTTGCTGTAAATATATTTTGTCATTTTCATGTACGTTATGTTGTGAGTGAATCATTGAATGATGCTGTATTTCTTGCAATATTAAATGTTACTGTAAAATATTTTTGCTTCTGTTGTGCTATTTGTCTCCTAAGCAATACAGCATTATGGGTGGTATATATCCTGTTACCTAAACTAATAGTTCAAAAGTGCATTGGCCACGGCACGCTATGTGTGAAATACAGTCGCTTTTAACTGAAGTTCTAAGCTACAGTGAATGAATATAGAATGCTTCATTATGTGATACTAGTTTCCTGTCCCCCCTCCCCAACGCACGCCAAGATGTCGAAATACATAGTTTGCAAGTTTAGTCATACATTTGGGCACAAAAATCGTTCCCCACGTTCGTTGGATCTCCTAAACGAAAGTGATTTATGTTTAGGATGCATTTTTCAGATTTAAAAAAGTGGGAAAGCAGCGCATGTGACATTCAGTTTAATTTAGATTAGAGCAGGGGTGGCCAACTTGTGGCTCTCGATAAATATACCAGAGTTCCCTTTTCATTTTTGTGTTATCGTTTCTTGACGAATCGACAGATATCACAAATCTTCCGCAATTGGCAGTTCTCATACGTTTTGTTTCACCTGACTTCGTTGTTCACGAAGAATTATTAGATTTAGTAGCGCTTCAGGAGTCATCCCACGGTGTCGATCATAAAATAGCATTAGATTCCGTAAGGAAAACTTTTAATGTGGTTCTTAATAAACTTGTAATCTTTGCAACTGACGGAGCTCCGGTAGTGCTGGGTAAAAGAATCGGTCTTTAAGAGATTATTCTCAAATTCCACAATTCATACCGATTCACCGAGAACATCTCGTTACAAAATATTTAAAATATATCAAAACAGTGTTACACATTGTAAATTACATTCGCACCAATGCAAAAAATCATCGACAATTCAAAAATCACCTTAAAGAACGAAGATCTTCCAAATTACATTAATTTCTTTTGTATTCTAAGATGGTTATGTAGCTGCAATGTATTAAATTGTTTGATCCAATAACTGCATTTCTAAAAGAAAAGGAAATAATCTATTCAGAATTAGAGGATGACTAGTTGTTACAAGACTTATAGTTTTTAACTGATGTCATGGAACATTTGCAATTGCAGGGGAAGCTTAAAATAATAACTGACCTTTCACAGTGTATATTTAGTTTCAAACTAAATTACAAGTTTTTCAAAAGCACATTGAAAATAAAACATTTTGTCATTTTCCTCGAATTAAAAAAATTCCAATATTAAACAAGAAAAACTCAACGAGTGTATAGAAAAGCTAGATGGAATATTGACGGAATTCCAAAATAGATTTCAAGACTTGAAATATTTTAAATCGTCTCTTGATTTTTTTTTCTGAATCCATTTGAAATCAACATAATTCATTCAAGGTGTTTTTATTTCCATTATAATTATGACCCAAAAAGCATCTGGAGAATTAGAATTAATAGAGATGCAAGAAGATCAACCTCTACAATTGAAATATAAGTCGACGTTGATTACTGAATTTTAGAAATTTGTACCGGAATCGAAGTATCCTGAATTTAAAAAGCCTGCTTGTCAAATTATTTCAATATTCGGAAAAACGTACCAGTGTGAATCATTTTATTCCATTTTAAAATTCGTGAAATCCAAACACAGATCAGTATTAACTACCCAGCATCTTGAAAGAATTACTGAGAAGTGCTGTCACCAAATTTTAAACAATTATTAAGAGAAGTAAAATAAATGCGTTTAATATTTAAATTCACTACACATATTTTGTACTTTTATTTATATGCTTTCAATAAATATAATTTCAGTAAAAAATTTAAAAAAATTCATACCCTTTTTGCCTACCTTTTAAATACGTATTTAATTGCGGCTCGCGACAAATTTTGAAAAATGGCTCGACTATCAAGGAGCTTGGCCACTCCTGGATTAAAGTAACCAATGTTTATATTGTAGAGTGCATAAAAAGAGTAAACACCTTGAATATCTTTTGATCTGACGTCTAATAATCCAAATCCACGCATTAGGATTCTAGGACAAAACCATATTTTCTACTAATAAATTTTAGTTTTTTTAATGGATTTGGATTTCTAACCCTTAATGAGAGGTAGGAACCCAATAGTTTTAACAGAAGTTACAAGTTAGTATCCTTCAGTCAGTCGTAGTAGTTTGTCTTGGGTGCCTGAGACCATCGCATCTCTTTACCCATTCACCATTCAATCTTCACCATCAATCTCATCTACCCATTCACCATTCATTAGTACTTGTGGTCTAGAAGAAAAAAATAGGAAGTTACTAAGTGGGCATATGAGCAATTCTACAAATAAACGCCAATTACGCGGCCAAAAAAAAAAAAAAAANAAAAAAAAAAAAAATTTCGGGGGGCACACTATTTCTACATGACTTTTTTTTATTTTTTACATTCTAAAAAGGCAAGAAGAAATCGTGAACATGAAATTTTTTCTTTGAGACATACTCAGATATATCTGAGCCATTTATTCAGATAAAACGATTTTTACATAAATATAATATTATTATACTGTCTCTCTAAAACGTATTTATAGAGATTGTATACTATAAGATTATATTTTAGTATAAAAAACAAAAATAAAAAAATTTAATCAAAGTTCGTAAATTGAAAAAATCAGGAAAAATTTAAAATTGGTATTTTGTCATTTAACCCTTTCACTACCAATTTTTTTTCTGAGAAAAAAATGAACAAAGTAATTAAATATATCAGTTACAATGCAAATATCGATAAAATTCTAAAGAAGGGAAAAAATTACTGAATTGTCAGTGATATCAAGGAATACCAGTGGAACATGCATACATAATAATACAAAGAATATTTAGTCCATAGGGTTATTTAAAACTGCCTGCGGGACATCTATGTCCCGGTGGTAGCGAAAGGGTTAAAGTATGTCACAAAGAAAAAATTTCATGTTCAGTATTTTTTCTTGCTTTCTTAGGGTAAGTGGTAGGGTGTAAAAAAGAAAAAATTTCATGTAGAAATAGCTTGCCCCCCCCCCAAATTTTTTGTTTTGTTTGGCCGCCTAATTTGCGTTTATTTGTAGAATTGCTCATATGAGCAATTCTACAAATAAACGCCAATTTTTACACTAAAATATAATCTTATAGTATGAAATCTCTATAAATACATTTTAGGGAGACTAATAATATTATATTTATATAAAAATCGTTTTATCAGAATAAATGGCTCAGATTTATCTGAGTATGTCTCAAAGAAAAAATTTCATGTTCACGATTTTTTCTTGCCTTTTTAGGGTGTAAAAAAGAAGAAAATTCACGTGGAAATAGTGTGCCCTCCCGAAAAAAAATTTTTTTTTTCTTGGCCGCCTAATTGGCGTTTATTTGTAGAATTGCTCATATCACCGTTTTCCAGGATTTTACCATATTGCAGGGACGTCCGCTGCTCCGGATTCAACAAAATATTTTAAAAGAATGAAGAGAACTGCAAACTAAAGTTGCAGATTTTCAGTTTATTTTGACAACATTAAAATAGGCTTAGCAGTCACAAAGCCCTTAAATTATTTAAAAGTAGTGATGAGTAAAAGCCCTATAAATCGAATTTACTAAACCAAGAACAAATCCTAAAAGACCCACTTGATAATGTCCGGAGTGAGTAAATACAGGGTTAGTAGCGTTAAAAGTTATTAAGGTGCTTTTTTCATTGGATCTTTTTAAAAAGTTCATTTTCCAAAATGAAATATTTTTTCTTTACCCTGTCAATTTTCGCCACAAATTATACAAAAAGCGTGGTTTTTGCATTGTAATGAAAACGTTTGAGTTTCTCAACCACAATCCATTTCGGCATACCGTCGGTCCGTAGCATGTGAAAGCGCCAATCATTTTACGTGTTTGATGAAGGCTTGGGGATCATTCGCTAATTACATATTTTCACCTGGATCCTCAGAGCAGTCGAGAATCTCTCTTTTATTAATTTAATTTAATAAAGATAAAATTTTTTAATTTTAAGATTTTTTACCTGAAGGACTGTCCACTAATTGCATAAAAATTTTTAAACTCATTTTACTTTTTATTATTCTATATTACTTTCAAATATATTTCGATATAGATATATTTCGGTGCTCATAGTTCATTTTTGTCATTCCAAAAAACTTTAATTCATCTTTTAATGATTTTATTTTAAAAGGTCCTATTATCTCAGATCTGTTAAATATGAGTGTAGGTACCATATAATAATTTACTTCTGACAAGAAAGTTTAGCTTCAACATTCATTGTAGATACGGTTCAAATTTATTTCAAAAAATTTTTATCATTTCATTAAAGAAATAATGAAGCAACAAATTTTAATGAAAATCTATTAGGGGCAATCACTAATTGATTTTTGTAATATAAATTTATTTAATTTTTTTTTCTTTGCTTGATTTTTTTCGAATCTTTATAAATAAGGTATGATCAATAATATTAATATGATGTTTAATTGAATATGCTTTTATAAATAACTTATTTAAATCTAAAAATTACACTCGATAACCTTTTTAAATAATAGTTAAATTAATAGTAATTTTGAATTAAATTTTTTTTCACGTAATTAAATAACGTTTTTATTAATTTTAAAAAAAACGAGCCACTCAATATTGAAAACTATACATTATTTTTATGGTGGTTAATATAATAAAGAAAAGAAAGTTATTTTATCATGATCATGTAAAGTGTTTTTTTGCACTTTGAAAATTTTTTTGCACTTTGTTAATATATATATGAAGAACTTGCAGGCAAGGCATAGGAGAAAAAAAAATTATTAGTGTGTATATCTTAATTAGGTTTTTTTTTGTTTTGTTTTTTAAGTGCTTATTTTATGTTGAAAAATATGGGTAGGCGCCCTGAAATATATGGGCTGTCCGGAGCTAGTTGCCATCTCCGATATTTTGCTTGTTTTCAAAGGCGTTATTTTACTTATTAGCTTCGTTAAAAAAAATAAATAGAAATGATTAATAATTCGAAGCATGTTGAAAAGATCTTGATTTTTTTTATTACTGAGATGATGATACATACAGATATATCAAATTACCATTCAAAAAATAAATGCAT